TCCTCCTCCTCCTCCTCCTCCTCCTCATCGACCAGTTCTTGTTCTGATTCATCGTGCTCTGCTAGGATGCGCAGGCAGGCACGTGCAAAGAAAGTGAAGAAGGCTTCCTCTACAAGACCTCCACGTCAGAATGATGGAGAACTTCCCCTTCCTCACCCAGGATTTTATGAGATGACACCTCAAGGGAGATTCATTTATTGTGGTCCACCACCCATTTCTCCTGATCAAGAGAATCTACGTCTTCCTAGGCGTTGTAATGTGGACTATGGATTGAGAGTCATTTGACAGGGCATGAATCAGTCCCTGTGGGCATGAGAAATGAACGCCAGGGATATTATTATTCCCAAAGGGGTACACCATTGCCTTCTGTCTGTGAGGATCATCTTCAGGCTGACAATATTGACTCAGATGTCTCTGTAGAGATGATGGAGGCTCCTATTGTGGACAATGATAAGGAGGTTAATGTGGATCGTATGGATGATTTTAATAAATTTGTGCAGATGGTTGGGAGGATGATAACCGCATTGAGCATCCCTGCTCCCAAACCTGTTTCTGCAGTGGATGACCATGTTTACGCCTGAGGAACAGGACACTTCCCCTTCTACACTACTCCCAACACTGCCATATTTGCTAAAGTTGACAAAGGTCCCTGATATTTCCCCGTCGCTTGCCCCAGCTATTCCTAAGCGGGTTGACCTTTTCTACAAAGTAGATCTTTCAACAGCAAATTGGATTGCCCGCCCCACTGCTCCTAATACGGTGGTGGCGGAGGCAGCTAGGTCTAGGAGACCTAAGAAATATTCTGTGTCGCCACCAGACAAAGAAGGAAAAAAGATAGATTCCCTTGGGAAGAAAGTGCATGTAGCTGCGGGGTTATTCGTTAGGATGGCTCATTATGCCACCTACATGAGTGGATACCAGAGTTTTCTCTGGAATAAGATGCTACCTTTTATCCATCTTCTGCCTACTGAAGACCGCCGTCTTCCTAAGGCTTTTCAGGCTGAGGCTCTTGTTCTTTCCAAATTTCAAAAAACCTTTGCTAAACATATGGCCGAGACATCTGGGAAGCTCCTCGCCACGGCCACAGCCATACGTCGTCATGCGTGGTTGCGTGCATCTTCACTATCAGAGGAGAGTAGGTTGTTGGCAGAAGACCTTCCACTGCATGAGGAAGGTCTTTTTGACCCAGCAACGGATGAGAAAATTAAACATTCACGGGAGGTTATGCAGGCAGCTAAGTATCCCTATCCATACTCTTACTCTTGGCAGCTTGGTGGCCAGCAGAAGCCTCGTTGGCAGCAGTCAGCCCCTTTCTATCGTAAGTCCAATTACAGTGGATATAATACGACTCAGAACAATCGAAATGCCTCATCAAAATTCCAATATAACCGTAGGCAGAGTTTTGGTGCTAAGCCTAGGTACCAGCCGTATAGCCAGAACAAGGCTAAGGCTGCAGGGAATCCCAGACGTCGTCTTTGACGAACCATCTGTTTCTGTTCCACTACTGTTCGGTTCTTATCAGTCTATACCTTCTGAACCAGTTGGGTGTTTTTTGTTTAAAGATAGGCTTAGACCGTTTGCGCGGTCTTGGGCCGCGATAACAACCGATAGTTGGGTCCTCCAAATTGTTCAGTATGGTTATTCCATAGAATTCAAGTCTCGGCCCCCGTTGGGACAGTTAAGAGTTACTCCCGAATCCCCAGCTTTGCTGGAAGAGATTGAGAAGTTATTGAGTAAGGGCGCGATTTCGCGCGTTCACTCTTCAATGTTCAATAGGTGTTACTTTTCTCGTTATTTCTTAGTGACCAAAAAAGGTGGAGGTTTGCGTCCAATATTAGATTTACGGGGAGTGAACATGTATATTGATTCGAGAAAGTTTCGTATGATTTCTCTCCCTATGATCCTTCCTTTTTTGAATAAAGATGATTGGTACGCATCAATTGATTTAAAGGACGCATATTTTCACATATCCATAGCTGAGCATCACAGAAAATATCTTGCTTTCATGGTTGGAGACAGGGCCTTTAATTTTAACGTCTTGCCATTTGGCCTTACCACAGCCCCGAGAGTTTTTACAAAATGCATGGCGGTGGTCGCTGCGCATCTCAGGACTAGGGGCATTACGGTTTATCCGTATATAGATGACTGGCTGTTGGTAGCGAGTTCATGTGACCGCCTGCGTGTGCATGTTGACACAGTTCTCTCTCTTCTCCAGTCCATAGGTCTCGTGGTGAACAGAGAGAAGTCCCACCTATTACCTGCCCGCAGAATTCAGTTTATTGGAGCCGTCTTGGACTCAACTTACCAGAAGGCGTTTCTACCAGAGGACCGTTTCGCGTCGCTCAAGTCTCTGGTTGTGCAAATTCTGTGTTCAGGGGAAGTGTCAGCAAAGACAATTCAAGTACTACTGGGGCATATGGCCTCTACAACAGCGGTCACGCCGTATGCTCGCTTGCGATTCAGACCCATCCAAAATTGGTTCCTGTCTGTGTTCCGTCCTGGCCTAGACGACCCCCATGTGCGGTTCCGTGTGCCAGAGGAAGTGCGGACTTCCCTATTGTGGTGGAAAGAACCTGCCAATGTTACTGTAGGCCTGCCTTTTCAGCTTCCCGAACCGTCGAGTGTTGTCACGACGGATTCCTCCTTAAGAGGGTGGGGAGCGCATTTCAATGGACTTACTGCCCGAGGTCTTTGGACTCCGGAAGAGGCCAAGTTCCATATAAACGTACTGGAACTGCTCGCAGTGGAAAAGGCACTAAAATCCTTCGAGATGGAGTTGTTGGGCGAGGTAGTGCAAGTGATAACAGACAATACAACGACAATGTTCTATATAAACAAGCAAGGGGGAACACGGTCCCAGACTCTGTCGAAGTTGACAATGCGTATTTGGGACTGGTGCATAGTGAGAAAGATATATCTGATGGCCATTCACCTCCCAGGGGAGGAGAATGTTTTGGCGGATACGCTGAGCAGGACGCCCATGTCGAGCCACGAGTGGTCTCTCAATCAAAGGGAACTCAATATGATCTTCGGGATCTGGGGGGTTCCGAAAATAGACCTATTCGCATCGAGAGAGAACGCGAAATGTCCCCTTTTCTGTGCACGCAGAAGGCCCAATCTAGCGCAGGGATGTCTGGGGGATGCGTTCCTTCTCAAGTGGTCAGGGGATTTCCTCTACGCGTTTCCTCCGTTTCCCCTATTGGCGAAGGTCCTTTCGAAGTTAAGGAGGGACGGAGGGAACTGTATCCTAGTGTCACCATGGTGGCCTCGTCAGCCATGGTTCTCGGTTCTTCTCGGGATGTCCAACGGGAGGTACAGGCGCCTGTCGAGCAGGTCAGACCTTCTGACTTTACAGGACGGAAGGGTTTGCTACCCGGACGTTCATGTGTTGAGGCTCACTGCGTGGAGAATTGTCCCGAATCATTAGACCCTTCCTTAGGTTTGTCTAGTCCAGTTAGGGCTATTTTGGATGCGGCGCAAAAGCCGTCTACTAAACGTTCTTATGTTTATAAGTGGGCTCGTTTCTCAAAGTTCATGTTAAGTAGGGGCTGTGACCCTGTTAGAGCGCCAATTTCGGCAGTGTTAGACTTTTTAGTTTCATTATCAAATTTAGGTTTGTCTATCTCGTCCTTAAAGTGTTACCTCGCTGCCATTTCATGGTACAGAAGGAAAGTCGGTTTGCCCTCCCTTTTTGGGGAATATTTAGTTAAACTCTTCCTCAGGGGTTACGGGAATGTTAAACCAGCAGTTGCCCCTGTTATTCCATCATGGAGTTTGGAGATCGTGCTTTCATCTCTTCAAAGTGCGCCTTACGAGCCTATGGCCACGTGCGATATTTCTCATCTTTCTTGGAAGACTTCCTTTCTTGTGGCAATAACATCGGCTCGGCGCGTTAGCGAACTTTGCGCACTTAGATCAGATGAACCATACCTCCGGTTCCATAGGGATAAAGTAGTGCTTCGTACAGACATTGCCTTTCTTCCCAAGGTGACATCTCATTTTCATATGTCACAGGAGATCATTTTGCCATCCTTTTTCCAGAACCCAGGCTCCCCTTTGGAGCGTAGTCTCCATTTGCTTGATGTCCGCAGGGCGTTGGCGTTCTACCTTAATAGAACTAAAGAAATAAGAAAAACTCCTAAGTTATTTGTGAAGTATAGGAAAGACTCTTGCGGTTCTCCTGTGTCATCGCAGCGTCTATCCTCATGGATAGTTTCTGCAATCAAGTTGGCGTACCAGAAATCTGGACGTGAGATTCCATCTGCCGTGAAAGGACATTCCACAAGAGCAGTATCTACTACGGCAGCGTTTTGGAAGGGTGTGCCCTTGGACGCCATTTGTCGAGCTGCCACATGGTCGACGCCGCTGACTTTTGTTTCACATTATAAGCTTGATTTGATGGCGAAGAAGGATGCGGCGTTCGGTCGAGCAGTGCTTTTTTCTGCGGTGGCATGACTCCCGCCATCCAAGGTGGGTAGCTCGCTAGTCTTATACCATTAGTGCTAATTCACAGCACAGACACGTAGGGAAAATGAGAGGTTGCTTACCTGTAACCGTAGTTTCCCTAGTGTTGTGCTGTGAATTCGCACGGCCCCGCCCATCCTCCCCGCAGTTTGTCATGCCTCCTCCTTCTGGCTGCTTTGGCGGCGGAAGAGATCTGGAGGCGGTTGGCCAGCCGCGGGCTATTTATGCTATCTTGGGGAGTGTGCGCGGGGCCAACCGCTTTTCTTTTGAATTTTAACTGAAGATTCCGGAATGAGGCTGCGCATGCGCAGAGAGAGTACCATTAGTGCGAATTCACAGCACAACACTAGGGAAACTACGGTTACAGGTAAGCAACCTCTCATTTCCTAAACTTGCCCACGAAGGACAGGCAACTGTCTTCAATAACTTCTTCTTTACTTTAAAGGAAAGTTCCCTTTTTAACTTCTCCCAGGCTGAATGTAATCTAACCCTTACTGATGTGGGCTCCGCTACCGGGTCGAACTGCTTCTCGAACGCTGAGTGGACCTACCAGTAAAGGCTTAGATGTTCTCCAGCTGGGGTTCTTTGGTCTTTAGGGCTGTTTCCCTGGAAATCTTTGGAGACTCTTGCTCTTAAGACTGTTTCCCCCCGGAAAGTCTTAAGGGTTGAAGCTTTTGTACAGGGGAAGCTTGCACACGTCCTGTACATTAGCTTTCCTTGCTGAGACTAACTAAAAAATGGCTCCCTTCCCTTCCCAATTGCCCTGAGCAAGGGGCGGGACCAAAACTTAATGATGATGGACAGGTGACTTGCCCTATGACTGCAACCAAAGGAAGCCACCTATCTGCAGAATCCCAGGAACCTTGGATTGCAAGCAAACATTTAATACAAAGCAAATAAAGTTGGAGTTCCTGGTACAGCCATACCAGCACAGCTGTGGATTACCTTAGACTGCTTTGGATTATGATACAGAGTGTAGCTGTTTATCAGTAATTTGATGGACAGGACGGTGACACACCTAGTGTAGTCATTGGTGGTCCTTCTGTCCTGGGAGAAGGGTCTCTTTTTTGGACTGTCACTCCCAGCATTAGTGGCTATCTGGAAGATTCTGGGAGTGGCAGACCCCTTTCCTCCACACTATGGAAATCCTAGCCTGCAGAGTTTGGAGGAAACTGGATTGAGGGCAGACTTATGAAGGCAGCAGAATCCCAGTTGGGCGAGGCACACTCTCTTGCAACCCCATTATTAGGTCCCTTCATGGTCGCCATCACAAATAATGTGAAGTCATGCAGTGGCAATAATAGATGCTTCTTTTTCTGGTTTTCAGGTGATGGTACTTGGGGTTGTGCCCCTGTGTTCCTATCAGATGGAGAGGATCTTCAACACGACCCGGATCCCTGGCAAGGAGACAGGTGAGTCTAGATGGGGAGGGGGTCACATAGGAAAAGGTACCCCATTCCCTGTTGGCTGAAGAGGTAGATCAGTTATGCCCTATAAAGCCCTACTTGATCATGGTAGGACTAGTAGAAGAATCGCGGAAGCACTGAATAATGGACTCTGGAGTCACCGGTAAAAAGCAGGTTTCAGCTTTACTTGAGCAGTTCATAAATCCAACACACACCATCAGCGAGCAGACGCGAAGAACACAAAGCTAAAGAGATAGGCACTAAAGACAAACTGCAGCTGGAAAGGAGTTATCTCTGACACTGTAAGACTGTAGGTTTTATATAGCAATATTAAATGATCACTCACAAGCCTGTTTTGCTTGGAAATGAATATATTGCTTGTATCTCTGCAGCAAAGGAAGACACCACTGACTTTTCCCCACCACCACTTCCTTTTATCCACCTTTCCTGCCCATCTCCCCCTCTTCTCAGTTTCCTTATTAGAACTCATTGCTTCACAAGTTCCAATACAAGGTTTCCATCGCCCTCTGCTGGCTTCAAAATGTCACAGAGAAAGAATTGATTCAGCCAGGATGATTCAGTCAGGATTAGGGCTGGGCGGTTTCGTTTGTTAATTTCGTAATTCGTTATTAATTCGTTATTTTTTTTATAACGAAGCGATATTGAACCATTCAGGAGCAACTAAAAATCGAAACGAATTTTTCAATTCGTTTCGTAATTGTTTCGTAATTGTTTCGAAATCGTTTTGAAATCGTTTCGTTATTATTTCCGTATGTCTGGTGCAAGTTTTATAGTTGTTTGTTTTATCACACCAACAGTCAACAACAGAGGGAGAGGGAAGCTTCAGAAGTTCCCCCTGTCCCATTTGGAGGGTTTTTTAGCGTATTGCACAATTGCGTCCGCCATTAACGAATCAATTCGTAATTGTTTCATAATTGTTTCGTAATTTACGAAATTTCGTAAATTTCGAACTTTTTTAAAGAAAAATTTCGGAATTCTTTTAAAAATCGAAACGCAAAAACCCCCTAAAAACGAATCGAGTTTAGAAACAATTTTTTCCGTGGTTGCCCAGCCCTAGTCAGGATGTCACGGAGGGAATTTGTGATGTCTTCATGCCGTCGGAAATTGACTCCTGACAGACACTCCCTAATTCTTCACACAGCAAGAAACTCAGGGTCACATTCTCACAGCTCTTTTGTGTAAACATACATCTTGGCAATACAATTCTATTACAGTCTATTACAATCACAATCCTATCACATAAAATTGCATTTAAACATACATCATACATAAATCATACGCTGACAGATCGTAGGTCTATAATTGTTGGGAAAAGGGTCATCAACTACATGCTGTGGGTATTGCATGTCTTTTGGAATGCTTATTGCCAGTCTTCTCCCTGGTTGCCTATTTTCACACTTCCTCTTTTTGCATGTTCCCAACCTGTTGCTTTAATTTAAATGGATTAAGGCAATACCTGATCTAATGCCAGGTATCTATTCCAACAAGATTCAGGGAAAGGCCCAGTTTCCATATGTAAGTCTGCTCCCCTGGCCTTGGCTTGCTTCAAGAGAGATACCTAGCCCTTTACGGTCTCTTTTCACAACCTCCAGATCGGCTCCTGCACCTGTCTGACAGCCGGCACCTGGCCGTCTTCCACAAGGGTCGCTTCTTCAAGGTGTGGCTCTATCACGCGGGGAAGCTGCTCCCGCCCCGCGACCTGGAGATGCAGTTCCAGCGCATCCTGGATGACCCTTCGCCTCCTGAGATGGGAGAGGAGAGGCTGGCCGCCCTCACTGCTGGAGAGAGGTCAGCTGGAGGGTCATTGCAAGGTTCAAGGGGACCCCAAGGACCATCTAGTCCAGCCTCTGGGAAAGTGAGGCCAGACAGCCATCTCTCGGGGTGCCTTGATTGAGTTTTCCTGCACGACAGAGTTGGGGTTGGACTGGATAGCTCTTGGAGTCTCCTCCTACTTTGTGATTCTATACAAAGGGACCCACAGCTAAAGGGAGATGGGCAAAAGGGAAGGGAAATGTTGTCTGCTGATAAGAGTTGGAGGCACTCCAAGAGTTATTCAGTCCAACTCATTGGAAAGTGACGGCATCTGCAGTTAAAGTGTCACGATGCCAGGGCTCTGCCAATATTTAGGCAGAGATGAACCAAACTCCCAGTTTGTGTTGAACAATTTAATTAAACCAGCACTTACTTTCTGGCTGTTTTAATAGTACAAAACATAAAACATAAAGATAGCACTCAGCCACAGAATATAAAACAAAAACTGATAGCAAACACTACACCGTAATCAAAGGGTCCAGTCCAGTGGTCAAATGCCGATAGTTCAATGAGCAAAGTCCAGGGACCAAGAGTCTATACCAGGGATCCTCAAACTAGGGGGACTGGATGGCCCATGAGGTCTCTTCCAACTCTTTGATTCTATAATTCTATGATTCTAGGGCCCGGGGGCCTGATACAGCCATCCAAGGTCATTTACCCAGCCCTCGCTTAGGGTCAACCTAAGTCTGAAACGACTTGAAAGCACACAACAACAACAACAACAATCCTACCTCATCAGCCCAAAGCAGGCCCACACTTCCCATTGAAATACTAATAAGTTTATATTTGTTACAATTGTTCTTCATTTTAATTATTGTATTGTTTTTAAGTGTTTTCTGTGCTACAAATAAGATATGTGCAGTGTGCATAGGAATTCATTCTTTTTTTTTTCCAAATTATAATCCAGACCTCTAATAGTTTGAGGGACTGTGACCTGGCCCTCTGCTTAAAAAGTTTGAGGACCCCTGCTCTAGACCATAGTCAAATGCCAGTCCAAAGATTCAAGGTTCCAGGATTCCAAAGATTCGGGAGACAGACCAGGACACCAAAAATCCACAAACCTGGGGGAAAACCAGCAGCATCCACCACCAAGATCATTTCCAAGGCTTGCTCCTTATATCCAGAAACACCCAGCTGCAACCCATCCCTTGCATACCTCCACCCTTAATTGCTTCCACCCATGAACTCTTACTTACAGATTATTCAACCCTTTAGAACTGCGACTTACATTACCCCTTCCATCACCAACCACCATCAACTGCAGAACATAATACATGACATAAAGTATCCCAAGAGAAAGTTTGTCAGAAGAGAAGGGAACTGTTGACCCGTGGGAGTTGGGAGGGATCCCAAGGCAAGTGAAGGGATCCACAGGTCAAGCAACTCAAGAGGAAGTAGAGGAGGGGACTGTGGCTTCCTCAGAGTCAGGAGCATCTCAAGGCCATCTAGTCCATGCTGGAAGACCCAGTCCTTTTGATGGTGTTGATGGTGGTGGTGATTACCGTCTCCCGCTTCCCCCGTTTCTCTCCCAGGCGCCCGTGGGCAGAGGCCCGAGAGAAGTACTTCAGCCGTGGGAGGAACAAGGCCTCGCTGGACTGTGTGGAGCGGGCTGCCTTCTTCGTGGCGCTGGACGAGGAGGAGCACGGCTTCAACCCTGACAAGGAGGACAGCCTGGACCATTACTCCAAGAGCCTCCTGCATGGACAGTGCTGCGACAGGTAAGGAGGCTCCCCCGCTTCACCTGCCAGGTCTGGGCCCCTCTCCGGCGCAACACGTTGCCATTTTTCCTGGTAGTGCATTGCCCTTGTGGTGTGCGATTTGCCATTGAGCCATTACTAGGCTCCCAAAAGTGTAGCTTGGCTAGTTTTGTTGGGATTCAGTCTTGTGCCCCTGTTTCCTTTATGGCCCAAAAACAGTCATGAAGTGACTTGCACTTTTCCATTCACAACCTCTCTGGAGCCGCTGCACACCGGAAAAGCAAGTGGAACAGAGGCAAGCAAAACCTATCAGAGTCCATTCACAGCAACAACAAGAACAACAATAACACTTTATTTATATTCCACCCTTCTCACCTCGAAGGGGACTCAGGGTGGATCACAAGTACACATACACAGTACACAAACATTCAATGCCGTTTGTATAGATAGTACACAAACAGACAGCACAGAAGGAGGTGTTGCTTCGATGCCATGGGCGGTTGGGCTCGAGTCCACAGGGGCTGTTGTCAATCCATCCTCTATGACGAAGAGCCGTCAGGGCTTCTTCATTCCAGCATTTTCTGATCTTTTTCTTTATGAGCTCACCTGAGCGGTACCTAATTTCTCTAATTACAGCTAAAGTTGTTTTCGAACTGCTTAGGTAAGCGGTGAACAGGGCTGGTGTCCTATAATCGAATCAGATGCTAGAAGCCAGGAGATTGTGCAACAGGTTTATTTGGCCTAATCTTCCTGCTGGGTGGAGCAACAAAAGACAAGTGCCACCACTAAACTAAGATGCAGCTTAGCTTTGTAGTCCAAAAACTTGAGACTGCCAAATGAACTATTTCATTCACACTCCTCTTTGCCTTTGTTCTCTTCTGGTGCTGCCTTATCAGCAACTTGCAACAGCAATCCACAAGTGCAGTTTCCCCCTCTTCCTGGCTTGCAGTCATGTATTTATTTTATTTATTTCATGCATTTCTACCCCACCCTTTTCCCCCCCTTAGACAGGAGGAGGAGGGTACTTATCGGCCTTATATTTGCATTAAGTAAAGAAATACAATATTTAAACCAGCTGGGTTGTTGTAGGTTTTTTTGGGTTATATGGCCATGGTCTCGGGGCATTCTCTCCTGATGTTTCGCCTGCATCTATGGCAATCATCCACAGAGGTAGTGAGGTCTGTTGGAACTAGGAAAAAGGGTTTATATATCTGTGGAATGATCAGGGTGGGACAAAGGACTCTTGTCTGCTGAAGCGAGGTATGAATGTTTCAACTGACCATCTCGATTAGCATATGATGGCCTGGCAGTGCCTGGGGCAATCTTTTGTTGAGAGGTGACTAGATGACCTTGTTTGTTTCCTCTCTGTTGTTGTGCTGTTGTAATTTTAGAGTTTTTTTAATACTGTTAGCCAGATTTTGTTCATTTTCATGGTTTCCTCCTTTCTGTTGAAACTGTCCACATGCTTGTGTATTTCAATGGCTTCTCTGTGTAGTCTGACGTGGTGGTCTAATCACCTCTCAACAAAAGTTTGCTCCAGGCACTGCCAGGCCATCAAATGCTAATCAAGGTAGTCAGTTGAAACATTTCTTCCATTGTCCAGGTGACCAAAACACTGCCCCATTCCCACTCTTTCACCTTTCGCAGGAGAAAAGGCCTTGGGTTCTGCCTCTTTCTCAAAACAAAGGTCATCCATCAGACCAAACAAGATAGGCCTGCATTCCTAGCTAATGAGATCGTGCTGTGTCTTCCTCCACAAACCAACAACTGCACGTTTTTTTCACAGGCTCTCATTCCCATCCCATATATGAATATTAACACTTGTGCAATGTGCATACTTACAGCTGGATATATATGTTAATACAGAAGGATATTGAGGCAGGCAGGCTTTGGGGCTCCCCTCACCTGTGCCAGCCCATACCTGTGGCTCCCAGGTGAGGCTGCTGCCCCAGCCATTGCCGAGGATGATGCCGCCTTCTGCCTTCAGGTGGTTCGACAAGTCCTTCTCCCTGGTGGTCTACCGCAACGGGAAGCTGGGGGCCAACGCGGAGCATTCCTGGGCCGACGCCCCCATTATCGGACACCTTTGGGAGGTAAGCACCGCTTCCCTTTTGGAGGGAGAGGAAGTCGATCCTTGCACCTGTCAGAGTTTGAAAACACACTGGCATATTTAGAAGGCAAAGTGCTAAGTAAAGTGCTGAGTTACAGTGATTAGTCAAGTGGCTGATGAAACTATGACCTATATCACAGGATTTGATCCCAGATTATCTGCTTATCCCAGGTTATATGGCAGTGGAGACTCATATAATCCAGTTCAAAGCAAATAATTCTTGCACCTCAGGAGGAATTCACCTTGCTCAAGCACTCACCAGGAAACCAAACGTAATAATAAACAGTTTGTTGCTAGAACACACAGTAAAAGAATAAAAATCCAAATATGTGAATAAAGTAGAAATCCCCCCCTCCAAAAAAACCCAGAGATAAATCTCCAATGCAAAGGTTAAAGCATGAACATGAATCCAAGATACATGGAACAAAACATGAACTTGATTAATCCAAGAAGCAAGGAACAAAACATGAGCTTGAATCCATCAGTAAAATCCCCAAGACTGGTAGCCAAACTTGACTAGGAAACTTGGCTTGGATCAATAACAGGACCAGGAACAAGGCAGGAGCTTCTTACTCAACGACATTGCTTGATCTGAAACCTAAGAGTTCCTTTCCTTAATTAAGGACAGCAATACATCTCCTCCTCCCTTCTCTGCCTGTCAGCTTCCAAAACAGTTTTCCCAAACGGGGAATCACCATCCTTCTCTGCCTGTCAGCTTCCAAAACAGTTTCACACAGAGAATCAGCATCTAATTCCAAATCCCCCTTCGTTTGACTAGGAAACTTGGCTTGAATCAACAACAGGACCAGGAACAAGGCAGGAGCTTCTCACTCAATTCACGACATTGCTTGATCTGAAACCTAAGAGCTTCCTTTTCCTAATTAAGGACAGCAATGCATGAAGGTGTGCCGTTGGCCTTGAAAAGCCTGTCTGTGCCTCTTTTTCCCAGGCCTCTGCCTCCTTTGTAATTTGTATATTGTATATTGTATTGTGTGAACTGTTGGGCATCGAATTGTGCCTTTTGTAAGCCGCCCTGAGTCCCTCCTAGGGGGTTGAGAAGGGCGGGGTAGAAACACTCCAAATAAATAAGTAAATAAATAAATAAATAATTTTTCCCATAACTCAGTTTGCCCCTGGAATTCTTCCCCTGCAGGAGCAGCCTTGATTCTCTGTCTAACCCCACTTCATTGGGTGAACTCATCTCCTCCTCCCTTCTCTGCCTGTCAGCTTCCAAAACAGTTTCATTTTCACACAGAGAATCAGCATCTAATTCCAAACCCCACTCCGTTCTCCCAACCAGAGAATCACCATCCTTCTCTGCCTGTCAGCTTCCAAAACAGTTTGATCAGCATCTAATTCCAAATCCCCCTCCATTCTCCCAACCGGGGAATCACCATCCTGTTCCAACATCCCCTCTGCCTGAGTACCTCCAGAAGCATCAGGCCCTGCAGACCTTGCACCCCCTCATCATCATCATCATCATCAGCTGGCTGAACTACAACGATAATCTGGAATCAGATCCTGGGATATAGGGCAGTATAAAACAGCCGGCCAACACATGGATTGATGGCTGATGGCTGATGGCTGTTGGAAGTACTACTGTTGGAAAGTCAGAGAATTGTAAGAGAGAGCGTGCCTAGCTGTATATATTGCTGTAAATGCCTGTACTGCTGCAATTGAAGATAAAGCTTTTCTGTAGAACGAAACTGCTGTATATGTTGTCTACCGTTCTTGCAAGTATCTCTTGTATACGTTGTCTACCGTTCTTGCAAGTATCTCTTGTATATGTTGTCTACCGTTCTTGCAAGTATCTACTCTGGGGTGAGGATCCTAGCATCACTCTCCGTTTCACACCTGTGCCCTCCTTGTTTCCGCAGTTCATGCTGGCCACTGACCACTTCCAGCTGGGCTACTGCAGCGACGGCCATTGCCACGGGGTGCCCAGCAGCACCCTGCCGCCACCACAGCGCTTGACCTGGGATATCCCCGAGGAGGTAGGTCGTTGGCCCTTCTGACTCGGGGTCTGCATTCCCCCCATTGAAGTCTGGCCAGGTGCAGAGGTCTTCTCTCTTGCTCGGTCTCTCTTGCTTCCCTCCAGTGCTGCAAGGTGATCGACACTTCCTACGCTGTGGCCCGGGCGCTGGCCAACGACATTGACTTCCACAGCTTCCGGTTCGTTGAGTTTGGCAAGGGGCGCATCAAGAAGTGCCGGACCAGCCCGGACAGCTTCATCCAGATCGCCCTGCAGCTGGCGCACTTCCGGGTAGGCTGAGCTGACAATGTACATACACACATACATATAAACATACATACACACACACACACCCAAAACATTTTCCAAAATTCCTTGATTTCCCTATATGTTCTAAAAATACTAGATTTTTCCATCTATACATATAATAAAAGTCAAAGTTTGTATGCGGCGGTGCGACCGGGTATGTGCCAGCTTTCCGATTGGCTGCCACTGTGGTGCTATTTGCATATGGTCTCTGATTGGCCAGCTGCAACAGGAGCCCCTGGTGGAGAAAAAGGTTCATGACAGAAATGGAGACATGAGAGAAGGAAATTTGCATATGTTCTCGGATTGGCCAGCCTCAATTCCAAGATTCCAAGATGACAAAGAGAGGAAAGGAAAAGGCCAGAGGGGGCTGAGTCAGAAAATTACCAATACAGACCAAACTTGGCACACGGAGCCCCCATGACTCACTCTACATCCTACTGCTGTTTGGAGGAGGGTGAACCATGGATGATGGGACTTGCAGTACCATCACTCACATTCTGAGACCGCTGTTAACCTCATCCAATGACTGATCAGGACCAAACTTGGCACATAGGTCTCTCATGACCCACTTTACATCCTGGTGTGGTTTGGCCGGGGATGGACATGGATTATGGGACTTGCAGTAAAAAAAGGTAAAGGTAGTCCCCTGACATTAAGTCCAGTCATGTCTGACTCTGGGATGTGGTGCTCATCTCCATTTCTAAGCCGAAGAGTCAGCGTTGTCCATAGACACCTCCAAGGTCATGTGGCCAGCATGACTGCATGGAGCGCAGCATGACTTGCAGTACCTTTGCCCAATTCTTGAGACCACTGCAAGCCTCATCCAATTACCGATAAAGACCAAACTTGGCACACTGAGTCTCCATGACGCACTCTACATCCTGGTGCAGTTTGGAGGAGGATGCACCATGGACGATGGGACTTGCAATACCTGCATTCCCTTCCTAAGACCATTACAACTGCCAACAATGATGGATCAGGACCACAATTTACACATAGAACCCACATGACCCACTTTACATCCTGGTGCTGTTTGGAAGAATTTGACAATGGATGATGGGACTTGCTGTCACTTCACTCACTTCCTGAGACCACTGAGACCCTCACCAATGACTGATCAAGACCAAACTTGGCACACAGAGTCCCCATGACCCACTCTACATCCCGGTGCACTTTCGAGGAGGACAGACCATGGATGATGGGACTTCCAGTACCTCCACTCCCTTCCTGAAACCACAGCAACACTTATCCAAATACCAAGAAAGACCAAACTTGGCACAGAGAGCCCCCTTGGCCAACTCAACATTCTGGTGAGGTTTGGGGGAGAACAGACTATGGATGATGGGACTTTAAGTACCTTAACTCACTTTCTGAGACCACTGTGACCCTCATCCAATGATTGATCAAGAACAAAACTTGGCACACAGAGCCCCCATGATCTACTCTCCATTCTGGTTCAATTTGGAGGAGGATGGACCACAGATGATGGGACTCGCAGTACCTTCACCAACTTCCTTAGACCATATAAATAACTGATAAAAACCAACCTTGAGACACAATTCCTTTCTCAAATAACCCGGGCAGTGCCGGGTCCCCAAGCTAGTATATAATATATTCCACAAAGCTCCCTGCTTGGGTAGTGATGGTACCATCGTCAGCATAGATGAAACTCTCTGTCCCTTCTGGCATTGGTAGTGCAGTGAGATAAACATTCACTTGGCATTGATACCAGCGTCCACCTACCATCAGCGTCTGCTAGCTCAGAGCTTTGTTTTAAACAGTATGCCTGATAACACACCCAACTAACACATCACAGCTGCTCTATTACAGTTTACAAACGGACTCTGATTCTGATGGTAGTGACAGGTCCTGTACCATTTTGACAGTATTGTATTCCTTTGATCACTCAATGTTTATGTTTTTGGATTGAATTTGTCCGCAGTGTTTCTAAGTCTTTCTGTTGGTTCAAATCTTGTGCCCATCCCACCGTCCAACACTCTCTCGCCCTCTCCCGTCTTCTCGCAGGACAAGGGCTGCTTCTGCTTGACCTACGAGGCCTCCATGACGCGGCTCTTCCGGGAGGGACGGACCGAGACCGTGCGCTCCTGCACCAGCGAGGCCACCGCCTTCGTGCTCAGCATGGCCGACCCCAGCTGCAGCGTGAGTGCCCCATGGAACCCCCCACTTTCCCCTAGAATCCTAGAGTTGGAAGAGACCTCATGGGCCATCCAGTCCAACCCCATTCTGCCAAGAAGCAGGAATATTGCATTCAAATCACCCCTGACAGATGGCCATCCAGCCTCTGTTTAAAAGCTTCCAAAGAAGGAGCCTCCACCACACTCCCTCCAGGGCAGAGAGTTCCACTGCTGAACGGCTCTCACCAGGGCCGTAGCCAGAAAAATTTTTTGGGAGGGGTTGAAATTTTCGCAGGGGGGCATTTGAAAATTTCGCGGGGGGGGGTTGAAACCTGCCTCCTAGCTCACGCTGAAGCAAAGAGCACAGCAGGGGGCAGAGCAGCCTTCAATAGCCTGCAGCTCCGCCCCTGTCAACCACCTCCACCAAGTCTGGCCTCCTTAATGAGAGCATTCAACACCCACCCACCCCTAACTTGGTTGCTTCGCTACATTGGCTATTGCTGCAAGTAATGACAGTGTGAATAAATTGTCAATATTTAAGGCCTTGCATGGTCTGGGGCCGATGTCCCTGAGGGACCGCCTCACCCCCTCCCAACCCCAGAGATCCCTCCGTTCTGAGGACCAAGATCTATTGGAAATTCCCAGTGTCAAGACCTTGCGCCTAACAGCAACCAGTGCAGAGCCTTCTCAGCAGTGGCACCATCACTCTGGAATACTCTGCCACCCGAAGTCCATGCCTTGTGGGACTTGTCAGCTTTCCGCAGGGCATGGAAGACATACCTGTTTCGACGGGCCTTTGATCTCTGATATTGCTGTTTTTAAATTGTTTTAAATTGTTTTTAAATTGTGTTCGATTTTAGCCTGTTCTTGCAAGCTGCTCCGAGCCCCAGGGGAGTGGCGGCATATAAGTTTGAATAATAAATAAATAAATAAATAAATAAATATTTGCTTGAGATAGTGCTTGCAGTTCTGGAGGGACTCTTAATTTTTTTGCATCTCATAGACTTAGCATGGGGATTTGGTTAACCAGTTAAAATTCATGAGTAAACTGGTTTTAAAAAAAAACTGAAACATTTCGGAGGGGGGGGTTGAACCCCTAACCCCAATCCCATTCTGCCAAGAAGCAGGCTCTCACAGTCAGGAAGTTCTTCCTCATGTTCAGATGGAATCTCCTCTCTTGTAGTTTGAAGCCATTGTTCCATTGCGTCCTAGTCTCCAGGGAAGCAGAAAACAAGCTTGCTCCCTCCTCCTCCTCCCTGTGGCTTCCTCTCACATATTTATACATGGCTCTCATCATATCTCCTCTCAGCCTTCTCTTCTTCAGGCTAAACATGCCCAGCTCCTTAAGCCGCTCCTCATAGGGCTTGTTCTCCAGACCCTTGATCATTTGAGTCGCCCTCTTCCTCTGGACACATTCCAGCTTGTCAATATCTCTCTTGAATTGTGGTGCCCAGAATTGGACACAATATTCCAGATGTGGTCTAACCAAAGCAGAATAGAGGGGTAGCATTACTTCCTTAGATCTAGACACTATGCTCCTCTTGATGCAGGCCAAAATCCCATTGGCTTTTTTTGCCACCACATCACATTCCTGGCCCCTCATTTACTTGTTGTCCACGAGGACTCCAAGATCTTTTTCACACGTACTGCTCTCAAGCCAGGCATCCCCCATTCTGCATTTCGTTTTTTCTGCCTAAGTGGAGTCTCTTGCATGTGTCCCTGTTGAACTTCATTTTGTGAGTTTTGGCCCTTCATCTCTCTAATCTGTCAAGATCGTTTTGGATCCTGCTCCTGTCCTCTGGACTATTGGCTTGTTGTTGTTCATTCGTTCAGTCGTCTCCGACTCTTCGTGACCTCATGGACCAGCCTACGCCAGAGCTCCCTGTTGGCCGTTACCACCCCCAGCTCCCTCAAGGTCAGTCCAGTCACTTCAAGGATGCCATCCATCCATCTTGCCCTTGGTCGGCCCCTCTTCCTTTTGCCTTCCACTTTCCCCAGCATAGTTGTTGGACTATTGGCTCTCCCTCCCGATTTGGTCCTTATTCCATCTTGGCTTTTCATGAGGGTGATGGTTGCACTGGGGCCCTGAAACTTCTTTGCACCACAAACCAGACGCTGCCCAAGTAGCCCAGTAAGTCAATCTTTATTAAAAGAAGAGTATATTAAAAATAAGCAAATTGGAACAGATTGGGGAAAAGTCACTGAATATTATAAACAAAGAAATAAGAAAATTTTGATCTAGCAGAAAAGAAATGAACAATACAAATATGAAGATCATAAGAAAAGAGGGTGAAAAAATAAAAAGGAGGAAGAGAAGAGGAAAGAGAAAAGAAAGAAAGGAAGGAGAAAAGGAAAGGAAAGGAAAGACATCAGGAAGATTCCAGGAAACCAAAATCTCTCTAATTTATTTTTCATATCACCAGCATATCCATCTTCACTTATATGTTTATAGTGATAACTCAACTGTTAAACTGAAGAACCATGTCTTTAAACTGCCGGGGATAAAGACATGCCGCTACAAAAATACATGGGCTTAGCAGAGGATGGTTGTTTCTTTGCAGTTGTAATTGCCCAAAAGATAGACACTCCCTTGAACCCTCTTAGTTTAGAATATGCACTCAGAGAGTAAAAAACAAAGTCTTCTTTGAAAAATAACATATCTTGGTTACTCACAAACAACTTGCATTAATTCACCATACAGGCATATTTCTTGTTAAATTTCAGTTATGGAAAGGATGTTAGTGTCTCTCTGTGTTGAGTACGCAGGATACATATGCCTAGATTCAGGGAAGTCCTGCTCCCCATGCTCTATTCTGCTTTGGTTAGACCACCCCTGGAATACTGTGTCCAATTCTGGGCACCACAATTCAAGAGAGAGATTGACTCTAAGCTGGAATGTGTCCAGAGGAAGAGGGCGACTCCATCTGATTCCATCTGAACATGAGGAAGAACTTCCTGACTGTGGGAGCCGTTCAGCAGTGGAACTCTCTGCCCTGGAGTGTGGTGGAGGCTCCTTCTTTGGGGGCTTTGAAACAGAGGCTGGGTGGCCATCTGTCAGGAGTGATTTGAATGCAATATTCCTGCTTCTTGGCAGAATGGGGTTGGACTGGATGGCCCATGAGGTCTCTTCCAACTCTAGGATTGGGATTCTATGATTCTGTGACTAAAATGATCAAGGGTCTGGAGAACAATCCCTATGAGGAGCGGCTTAAGGAGCTGGGCATGTTTAGCCTGCAGAAGAGAAGGCTGAGAGGAGATATGATAGCCATGTATAAATATGTGAGAGGAAGCCACAGGGAGGAGGAGGGAGCAAGCTTCCTTTCTGCTTCCCTGGAGACTAGGACGCAAGGGAACAATGGACTTCAAACTACAAGAGAGGAGATTCCATCTGAACATGAGGAAGAACTTCCTGACTGTGAGAGCTGTTCAGCAGTGGAACTCTCTGCCCCGGAGTGTGGTGGAGGCTCCTTCTTTGGAAGCTTTTAAACAGAGGCTGGATGGTCATCTGTCAGAATCATAGAATCATAGAATCCTAGAATCAAAGAGTTGGAAGAGACCTCCTGGGCCATCCAGTCCAACCCCATTCTGCCAAGAAGCAGGAATATTGCATTCAAAGCACCCCTGACAGATGGCCATCCAGCCTCTGTTTAAAAGCTTCCAAAGAAGGAGCCTCCACCACACTCCGGGGCAGAGAGTTCCACTGCTGAACGGCTCTCACAGTCAGGAAGTTCTCCCTCATGTTCAGATGGAATCTCGGGGGTGATTTAAATGCTATTTTCCTGCTTCTTGGCAGAATGGGGTTAGACCGGATGGCCCAGGAGGTCTCTTCCAACTCTAGGATTCTAGGATTCTACATCATTCTCAATCGGTTGTCCATAGTCTTTAGGTATAGCTGTACTCACTGAAGTCCATAAGTCATATTTCCCTACTAAAGTCCAAACAAACACATGCATCCACCTCCACTGAAGTGGGAAGCCAACTGAATATCAAATGGAGTCCTGAGTCTGAACACGCTCAGTATAATCACGTGTCTATAGCCCCTCCCATGCCAAAGAGGTCAGTCAAACTGGCACATCAACATACACATAGAATAGAGGTTGGCAAATATATACATTAACAAATAAATAGTGAAAGCCTTGGGAGGTTGATGTTTACAACATGCACACATTCATTCATCATCATGCATACATTACCATCTCTCTTTTTTTTCTGCTGGAAAAGAGACCCAAAGTAGGCCAGATTGTGTTCCCAGCAAATCTGCCATTCTGGAAATGCACCACCTTCCTTCATTCCTTGGAGAAGATGGCGAGTGGACCAGACTCCTCTGGTCTACCACACTTTTTGGAATAGTAAAGTGTCTCTTAGATAGCAATGTTTCTGCTGGTGTCGCTCCAAAAGTTGGAAATGGATGACAGGTGCTTTTCCAGCCAAAACATGCGGACTCCCATCAGTTCCTGGACAGATGTGGACTTTCCAGCCAAAACATGCGGACTCCCATCAGTTCCTGGACAGAAGTGGACTTTGCTTCCTTAAATGACAATAGTTTTTCCTTCCTAAGGAACGTTGTTTGCTTCCTTCTTCAGTTAAAGAGCCACTGTCTTTGGTAATGTAAACATGTTGTTTTCCACCAAGAATTCAACAGTTAATAATTTGTCTCTGGTCATCAATGTCAGCAGTTCTCATCAGCATCTTTCAATTACGGTCCACAAATTCTTCACCTCCTTCATTTCATTTTCCAGGATTCAACCTTAGGATGGCATCCCTAGATTATATAGACCCCCCAACCATACACCTTTCATACAATTCCATTCAAGCCATATATCGTATTCCATGACAGCCCCTCACCCCTTCTCTTCCCCTTCTGCAGCCCTCTGAACGCCTGGAGCTGTTCCAGGTGGCGGCCGAGAAGCACCAGCACCTGTACCGCCTGGCCATGACCGGCTCGGGCCTCGACCGGCACCTCTTCTGCCTCTACGTCGTGTCCCGGTACCTGGGGGTGGAGTCCCCCTTTCTGAAGAAGGTGAGCAGGAGGACAGCAGGTCTGGGATGGGGACATGTTGTGTGTTCATAGAGAAGGACTGCAAGGACTCCTCATTGCCGCCTCCCTCTCCTCCCCCCCCCCCTCAAATTTGGGAATTATAGATTCGTTATTGGTTAGTTGCATCTTTACAAGTGTCTAATGTGTCACGAGGAAAAAACAAAGAGGGTGGGGTTTTTGAGGTATGGGGGAGTTCATTATTACCACAAAGTCTTCTCTGTTACTTGAATAAACCCTTCATAAAACATTGAAGATTCTATCAATTTTAATTTTGAGTCCTGTGCCGTCACACCCAGACACTATAAAGTTAAAACTAAGATGTGCTTCTCTCTTTATCTGGGTGAACTGCGGGTGCTTTTCTTAGAAGCTCAAGATTCTCAGCAACTGAGGCCAGTCCAGAATTGAACATCAGCAGAACATTTATTTTTCAAAGTCCTTGACAGACTTGGCACAGCTTGATGAAGTTACAAACACAAACAGCCAATTTGGGAAACCATATAGATGCTCTTTCTTTCCTTTTTCCTTCAGTTACCGAGTTGACTTTTCCCCGATGGTAGAAAAATCCTGGGATCTTTTACCCTAACCCTGAGCTGTTATCTTTCAGAAAGAGCAGGTCTTCCTCTATCTAAACTCAAGGTTGCAGCCTGTGTTGGACGGGGTGACACTCCCCCTGAAGAAGCAGGTTCGCAGTTTGGGTGTGATCCTGGACTCGTCGCTGAGCCTGGAACCCCAGGTTTCGGCGGTGACCAGGGGAGCATTCACACAGTTAAAACTTGTGCGCCAGCTACGCCCATACCTTGGGAAGTCTGACTTGGCCACGGTAGTCCACACTCTGGTTACATCCTGTATAGACTACTGCAATGCTCTCTACATGGGGTTGCCTTTGAAGACTGCTTGAAAGCTTCAAATGGTCCAGCGTTTGGCAGCCAGGTTGCTAACAGGAGTGGCACTCAGGGAGCATACTACTCCTCTGTTGCGCCAGCTCCACTGGCTGCCAGTCTGCTACTGGGCACAATTCAAAGTGCTGGTGTTAGCCTATAAAGCCCTAAACGGTTCTGGCCCTACTTACCTCTCTGAACGCATCTCCTCCTATGAACCGGCTGGAACACTCAGATCATCTGGGGAGGCCCTGCTCTCTGTCTTGGCGGGGATGAGAGATAGGGCCTTTTCAGTGGTGGCCCCTCGGCTGTGGAACGCCCTGCCTGCAGATATCAGATTGGCCCCCTCCCTGCTGGCGTTTCGGAGGAAAGTGAAGACCTGGCTGTTCGAACAAGCATTTGATTAAACAGTGTAATGGAACATAGGAATACGGAATAATGGATGACGAGACTGGATTCTGATTTTACTGTTGAGGCGCTCATGATTGTTCTACGGATATTTAATGATTTATGTTACAATTGTTTTTAATTGTCCTACACTTGTCTCGTGGTGTTTTGTATTGATGTTGTTCACCACTTTGAGTCGCCTGAAGGCTGAGAAAAGCGGTACAGAAATAAAGTAAATAATAAATAAATAAATAAATAAAGATTAGTTTTGGAGATGAAGTAATGGAGCCTCTCTCAATGGCTGAGCTACTGTCTTCTAGAAAGAGCAGGTCTTTCTCTGTCTGAGCTCAGCGCCAGTTTCAAAGGCAAGAGGGTAACCGTATTATTATTAATTATTATTATTAAACTTTATTTGTACCCCGCTAGCATCTCCCGAAGGACTCGATGCGGCTTACAAAGGCCAAGGCCTCAATACACAACACAACAATACATCTAAAGCAAAATTAAACAATTGAAGCAATATTAAAAACAACACAACAACAGCAGTAAACAATACACCAAAACACAATAAAAACTGGGCCGGCCAGAGTAAAGGGTACAGGATTAAAAGTGCTGATGTGACAGGTGATATGTAGGGATTATAGGGTAAGTGCGGTGTGCAATGTGCGGCAATCTTAGTTCTACTAAAGTGCTTCTGGGACTTGGTAATGGAGGTTTCCTATTTGGGGAAGGCACATCGGAACAGCCAGGTCTTCAAGTTCTTTCTGAAGACTGCCAATGTAGGGGCCTGTCTAAGATCTTTAGGGAGGGTGTTCCAGAGTCGGGGGGCCACCACGGAAAAGGCCCTGTCTCACGTCCCCACCAAACGTGCTTGCGACGCAGGTGGGATCACGAGCAGGGCCTCTCCAGATGAATGGAAAGAGCGTGCGGGTTCATAGACGGAGATGCGGTCACTCAGGTAGGCAGGTCCCAAACCGTTCAGGGCTTTGTAGGTAAGCACCTGCACCTTAAATTGGGCTCGGAAAATAAACAGCAGCCAGTGGAGCTCCTTGAACAGGAGGGTTGACCTCTCTCTGTACGGAGCGCCAGTTAACATCCTGGCCGCTGCTCGTTGGACCAGTTGGAATTTCTGAGCCGTTTTCAAGGGCAGCCCCACGTAGAGCGCATTACAGTAATCCAACCTAGAGGTGACCAAGGCATGGACCACCCCGGCCAGATCAGCCTTCGTACAGATAACCGTACTCACAATGGCTTGTCCGAGCTGCCTAGCTTGGCCACCAGCACATCTGAGGCTTTTTCTATACTAAAGAAGGCAGGAGAGCCTTTCCAAAATGGAGATCTCATCCCCCGGAAAAAGGGCGGTCTCTAGACCAAAAGGATACCTTTTTAAACCAATAGCTGCAAAAGGCTTGCAGGCTGGCTTCCAGCTTCTGTTAATGTTTAACTTTCAGGGTGCTGCTGAGACTGTAGCAACCCTGGGGGAAAATGAACAGGGATGCTATCTCAAGTAACTAAGGGGCAATGCAAACCAAGCTTCTGGAAGACGGAACAAGTCTGATGGTTGTGTCTTCTTCCGTGTTCTGGTCGGCAGAGATCTATTGCTGTTGGCGATTAACCAGCTGTGCTACAGCCTGGCCCAGTATACACAATATTAATAGTAATAATAATAATAATATGTTCTATCTACAACTCTGGAGTTCAAAAACTCTTCTGATTTAACCATAATCACTCAATATGATATTTTTATAATCCATTTCTAAAAACTTTCCCAGAGGTCCCGAAAGTCAGATCTCTCAACCGTCTCTTTTTTGAGGTTTTGCCTTTTTGATCACCGGTGTTGTATTGCTATCCAATCAGAGAGGAGCCACATACAGGCTTCTCTTTCTTTGCAATGAGTGTTTAGAATTGTTACGGGAGTGTCCCCGTTTTCCAAGATTCCGAGATCAGCGAGGAAGGAAGAGACAGAGACAGCTGTTGCAAGTTCACAGAATTTATTGCTTACCCCGGGTAAGGGCGCCCCAGCTTCAACATGGCTGATGTGGCACAGAGCACTACCCCAAAAGCAACCAGTATTTATAGGCAGAATTACTTAGTTTGCACATGCACATAATTTTCTTGACATTTACACAATCTAATCAATATCAGTTTGTCCTCGAGGAATCACAGCCAAGAACACTTGTTTGGCAAGATATTATAATTTCCACTGCTCCCCTTTCATCAGCTGACCAGACTCATTCCCAGATGAGATACATAAAAGTGAATCTTAACTTCATATATCTCTTCACACATATATATGACTCCATACATCTTCATATGTGTATCTTTAACTTATTCAAAGCAAGCATTTCCCTTATTAATTCTTCTGTAATTACTTTCACATCATTTTCCTATATTCTTACTTATGTAGGATTGTTCATAAGACTGAATTACCTGCTATTTACATCAGATGGAGGATAGATGGCGCTGTTGTACCATATCTTCAGATGTCTGTTTTTCTTGGATCAATAATTATCGATTTACTTTTAGAGCCAATTCTCTGACCTGCCACATTTAGCACATAGCCGTCCTTCTATTTATTTACTTAAGATATGGTTTTTCCTGCCTTGTCCCAGTCCTGTTCCATCTGTCAATTTCCCTTCCACCAGAATTCTACCCCCGCACCTTAAGAAAACCTTTAAGGTAAGACTTCTTCATTAATTTCATTAGGTTCTAATTATTTTTCTTCTTGATGACTGCCACAGAATTATTCCCAGGACCCATTTGTTTGATGCTTGGTCCATTCCTTTTTCATTTATCAAGACAAATTAAAATCCAATTGCATCAACATTCATTCCAATTCAAATATAGCCGAATTATAACAAAAATGCAACATAGTGTTCCGCATTTCAACAATGCCCATTTTTGACAGGGCTCTGGTCCCTACCCTGTCGAATAGAGAGGCTGCCTATAACTGCAAGGGACCCCCAAAGGGCATCTAGTCCACCCTCCTGGTGCCTCTGAAGCAGTCCGTAAATAAAGCCTTCCTGATTGTTGCTCATTGTGAGCCATGGAGTCATGAGGTCTGCATTTTGGGTGTCCTCCTGGACTCATCACTGTTGCTTGAAGCTCAGGCGTCGGCAATGGCTGGGAGGGCCTTCGCACAATTAAGACTCGTGCGCCAACTGCGACCGGACCTCAGGAAGGAGCATCTGGCCAGGGTGGTCCACGCCTTAGTCACTTCCAGATTGGATTACTGTAATGCACTCTACGTGGGGCTGCCCTGGAAATTTCAATTGGTCCAACGGCCGGCGGCCAGATTGTTAACTGGTGCTCCTTGCAGAGAGAGGTCAACCCTCCTGTTCAAGGAGCTCCACTGGCTGCCATTCATTTTCCAGTCTCAATTCAAGGTGCAGGTGCTTACCTACAAAGCCCTAAACGGTTTGGGACCCGCCTACCATCGTGACCGCATTTCAGTGTATGAACCCACATGATCTCTTCGATCATCTGGAGAGGCCTTGCTCGTGATCCCACCTGCATTGCAAGCGTGATTGATGGGGACGAGGGATAGGGCCTTCTCAGTGGTGGCCCCTTGACTCTGGAACTCTCTCCCTAAGGACATCAGGCAGGCCCCATCGCTAGCAATCTTTAGGAGAAGCTTGAAAACATGGATGTTCCAGTGTGCCTTTCCAGAATAAGGAAACTCCTAGCATTATGTCCCAACACACTTTATCAGAGATTTAGGATATCTGCATGCCCAACCTCCTCCAAACACCCCACCTGTCATGCCCAGTACTTTTTAATTTTAATTGTAATTATTACATTTGGTCTGGCCATTGTTTTTAACTGCGTCATTGCGTGTTGTTAACGTTATTGCTTGTTTTTGTTTTATTTTGCTGTATTATTATTGTTGTTGTTTATTGTTGTATTTTGGGCTCGGCCTCGTGTAAGCCGCACCGAGTCCTGCGGGAGATGGTAGCGGGGTACAAATAAAGGATTATTATTATTATTATTATTATTATTATTATTATTATTATGAGGCACACTCAACAGGGTGACTAAAATGATCAAGGGTCTGGAAATTTTTAAGCAGAGGCTGGATGGCCATCTGTCAGGGGTGATTTGAATGCAATATTCCTGCTTCTTGGCAGAAGGGGGTTGGACTGGATGGCCCATGAGGTCTCTTCCAACTCTTTGATTCTATGATCAAGGGTCTGGAGAACAAGCCCTATGAGGAGCGGCTTAAGGAGCTGGGCATGTTTAGCCTGAAGAAGAGAAGGCTGAGAGGGGATATGATAGCCATGTATAAATATGTGAGAGGAAGCCACAGGGAGGAGGGAGCAAGCTCGTTTTCTGCTTCCCTGGAGACTAGGACGCGGAACAATGGCTTCAAACTACAAGAGAGGAGATTCCATCTGAACATGAGGAAGAACTTCCTGACTGTGAGAGCCGTTCAGCAGTGGAACTCTCTGCCCCGGAGTGTGGTGGAGTCTCCTTCTTTGGAGGCTTTTAAGCAGAGGCTGGATGGCCATCTGTCAGGGGTGCTTTGAATGCAATATTCCTGCTTCTTGGCAGAATGGGGTTGGACTGGATGGCCCATGAGGTCTCTTCCAACTCTTTGATTCTATGATTCTATGATTCTATGGAGAACAAGCCCTATGAGGAGCGGCTTAAGGAGCTGGGCATGTTTAGCCTGAAGAAGAGAAGGCTGAGAGGAGATATGATGAGGGCCATGTATAATAAGTATGTGAGAGGAAGCCACAGGGAGGAGGAGGGGGCAAGCTTGTTTTCTGCTTCCTTGGAGACTAGGACGCAATGGAACAATGGCTTCAAACTACAAGAGAGGAGGAGATTCCATCTGAACACGAGGAAGAACTTCCTGACTGTGAGAGCCGTTCAGCAGTGGAACTCTCTGCCCCGGAGTGTGGTGGAGTCTCCTTCTTTGGAGTCTTTTAAGCAGAGGCTGGATGGCCATCTGTCAGGGGTGATTTGAATGCTTCTTGGCAGAATGGGGTTGGACCGGATGGCCCAGGAGGTCTCCTCCAACTCTTTGATTCTATGATTCTAGGAGCACCCCACCACCCCAATTGCAATGGGATACTTTGCAGCTTTCCAATGCCATCTTCTGGAGGCTCTCTGTCCCTCTCCGCAGGTTCTGTCCGAGCCCTGGCGCCTCTCCACCAGCCAGACTCCGCAGCAGCAGATCAAGATGTTCGACCTGGAGGAACACCCGGAATGCGCCTCCTCTGGAGGGGGATTCGGGCCGGTAAGTGTCCGCAAGCAGACCTCGTGCAGGACGCTAATATCTGGAAGGAAGGGGCCCATTCAGAAGTTGGAGGGGGTTAGTCAATGCTTTGTATACTAACGTTGAGTACGTCTGGGGACGTTATGGACCCTCCCCTCCAAGCTCATCCCACAACATTATTTATTATTATTTATTTAAAACGTTTATATCCCGATCTTCTCTACCTCCGTAGAGGGACTCAGGCCGGCTAACAGCAAGGATTCAATGCTAACAGTACAGTCTAAAACAATCTAACAACAAACAACAACAGTGAATTAAAATACATAAAGGAAAAAATAAAATTGTGTTTGACAGAAGGGAGTCCGACTGGATGACCTTTGGGGGCCCCTTCCAGCTCTCCCCACCCCATTGACCGTTAGTCTCTCCCCACAGGTGGCCGACGATGGCTATGGAGTCTCCTACATCATTGCAGGGGAGAACCTCATCACTTTCCACGTCTCCAGCAAGTTCTCCAGCCCTGAAACGGTGAGTGTCCACAAGGGAGCCAGAAGGCTGAGAGGAGATATGATGAGAGCCATGTATAACTATGAGAGAGGAAGCCACAGGGAGGAGGAGGAGGAGGGAGCAGGCTTCCTTTCTGCTTCCCTGGAGAGAGACTAGGACGCAAAGGAACAAAGGCTTCAAACTACAAGAGAGGAGATTCACCTGAACATGAGGAAGAACTTCCTGACTGTGAGAGCCGTTCAGCAGTGGAACTCTCTGCCCCGAGGGAGTGTGGTGGAGGCTCCTTCTTTGGAAGCTTTTAAACAGAGGCTGGATGGCCATCTGTCAGGGGTGATTTGAATGCAATATTCCTGCTTCTTGGCAGAATGGGGTTGGGCTGGATGATGGCCCAGGAGGTCTCTTCCAACTCTTTGATTCTATGATTCTATGGCCGGACTGGGCTGGGGACAAGAGGGCAAGCTCTTGACCAATCCAGGTCAATGGAAGGGCCATTTTGACCCACTCAGGAACAAGTCATAGAATCATAGAATCCTAGAATCAAAGAGTTGGAAGAGACCTCGTGGGCCATCCAGTCCAACCCCCTGCCAAGAAGCAGGAATATTGCATTCAAATCACCCCTGACAGATGGCCATCCAGCCTCTGTTTAAAAGCTTCCAAAGAAGGAGCCTCCACCACACTCCGGGCAGAGAGTTCCACTGCTGAACGGCTCTCACAGTCAGGAAGTTCTTCCTCATGTTCAGATGGAATCTCCTCTCTTGTAGTTTGAAGCCATTGTTCCATTGCGTCCTAGTCTCCAGGGAAGCAGAAAGGAAGCTTGCTCCCTCCTCCTCCCTGTGGCTTCCTCTCACATATTTATACATGGCTATCATATCTCCTCTCAGCCTTCTCTTCTTCAGGCTAAACATGCCCAGCTCCTTAAGCCGCTCCTCATAGGGCTTGTTCTCCAGACCCTTGATCATTTTAGTCGCCCTCCTCTGGACACATTGTGTCCATTGCAAGCCCACAGAACATGGTAGAGGTGTCTCACCCACCTGGTTTTAACTGTCAGGTATTTCTTCAACCTGAAGCAGAGTTTGTCAGCTCAAACCAAGCAAAATATTAAAGGACTCTCTATAGTATGTGAGCAATACTTGCAATAAACAGCAAACGCGGGAGCTTCTTTCCACAAGAATGCTTTATCTTGCAGTTTCCCTGTGAATATGCACATATGGTACTTCTGCGCCTGCGCAGCACAGCTCCGGAATCTTCTGTTAAATTTTAAAAAGGAATGGTGGTTGGCCCCGCCCACTCTCCCCTCGAGAGGATGTATAGCCTGTGAGCTGGCTAACCGCCTCCAGTTCTCTTCATCCGCGCTAGACAGCAGCTCAAAATCTTCTTATTAAACCAACTTTGATCTGCCTAATTAATTGGATGAAATTGAACTCTCACAAATTAAATTAAAAGATTTAGTAAACAAAATAAAGAACCCGCGTACTACAGGCTTCAAGCGCTGTAATGCCTGTCAGGGGAATTATCCGGACAACGATGCACATTCTCTATGCATCGTCTGCTTGGGTGAAGGACGTTTACTACAAGCTTGCTCTATTTGTCAGTCCTTCACCCCACAAACTAGAAAAAACAGGGAGATTCGTTTAAAAGCAGCCCTGTATGAATGGGTGCTTCTCCCTCCTGTGCCAAAGCGGCAAAACGGCGACTCAAATCAAACAATGGAGTCAAACTTACCTGTATTAACAACTCTCCCAAAGATGCTCAAGAAAACCAAAAATTGTTGAGTAAAGGGGCAATTTCCCCTCTTGATCCTTCTAAGTTTCATGAATGTTTTTTCTCATGTTATTTTTTGGTATGCAAACAGGGAGGAGGTCAGTGTCCCATCTTGGACCTAAGGGGAGTAAACATGTATATCTATTCAAGAAAGTTCCGTATGGTTTCTCTTTCTTTGATTCTCCCTTTACTCAATAAAGATGTTTGGTTTGCAACCATCGATTTGAAAGATGCTTATTTTCATATTACAGTGTTCACAGCTCTCTCCAGAATCCTCCAATTCACCAAACATCATCGTATCACCCAAACCCAACTTACTCCGTTGGGGTTCTTATATTGAAATTGAATCCAGACAAGACAGAGGTACTCCTGGTCAGTCGCAAGGCCGAACAGGGCATAGGGTTACAGCCTGTGTTGGATGGGGTCGCACTCCCCCTGAAGACGCAGGTTCGCAACTTGGGTGTGACCCTGGACTCATCGCTGAGCCTGGAACCCCAGGTCTCAGCAGTGACCAGGGGAGCATTTGCACAGTTAAAACTCGTGCGCCAGCTGCGCCCGTACCTTGGGAAGTCTGACTTGGCCACGGCAGTCCACGCTCTGGTTACATCCCGCTTAGATTACTGCAACGCTTTCTACGTGGGGTTGCCTTTGAAGACAGCTCGGAAGCTTCAACTAGTCCAACGCTCGGCAGCCATGATTCTAACAGGAGCGGAACGCAGGGAGCATACAACCCCCCTGTTGCGCCAACTCCACTGGCTACCGATTTGCTACCGGGCTCAATTCAAAGTGCTGGTGTTGACCTTTAAAGCCCTAAACGGTTCCGGCCCAAGCTACCTATCCGACCGCATCTGTTGCAATCCAGAGCAGGGAACGAGGCCCTAAGATAACTATCCACCACACTTGGCTGTGAAAAACAATCCTTTTTTATTGAAGAAAAATGGTTACAAAATAAAGGAAAAATGCAAGTCAAAAGCCACAGCAAAATCAGCAAACATGAATTTAAATGGACAAAGCAAAACCAAAAGTCTCACTGGGAAATACTGGAATCTGTTAGCAATCCACTAACCGTACTTGATATCCTAGAAATCTTCCCAAACTATGGCCAGGGAACCGGGAGAACTGCCAAGGTCTTCATCAATTCTGAAACGATGCCTGAACTGAGGCAATCAGCCTGGCGTATTGCAATTAAAACTCAAGAATTGGTTCCGTGAACCGCCCTTCTGTTTTGAAGCCAATGTTTTTAATTCTTGAATTCGGGAGGATCGACGCAAACTGAGTGTTTTACTTCTGTCTTCCCAAATTTGGCCCCTTCTGTTGTCATTACAGTTAACAGGTGCAGAAGGGAGGGAAAGTTCAAGGTCTCCCTCTGAAACATTCTCATGAACACTGGTACTTTCATTTTCCAAATCTACAGAAGTTCCTTCCTCACTAATTTCAGGAACATTGGCATTTTCCAAACCTACAGCAGTTTCTTCCTCACTCATTTCAGGAGCATTGGCATCAAAAGGTACATTTCCATTAACATCAGTAAATATACTTTCATTAGCATCAGGAGGAACAAACAGAGAATCAGGTTCAAGTTCAAACTCAGGCTGAACCCCAACAGCATCTCGGCCTATGAACCCACCAGGACTTTGAGATCTTCCGGGGAGACCCTGCTCTCGATCCCACCAGCATCACAAGCACGGCTGGCGGGGACGAGAGATAGGGCCTTCTCGGTGGTGGCTCCCCGGCTGTGGAACGCCCTTCCCACAGACATTAGATTAGCACCATCTCTACTGGCATTCCGCAAAAAGGTAAAGACCTGGTTGTTTGTGCAGGCCTTCAAATAATTAGTGCAATGACTGGCAATGACATAGGAATGGAACAATGGATGACAAATCTGGATCATGTTTTTTAGTGAAGAGACGCTATTGAATGGTTATTATAGTAATTGTATACTAACTGTGTATTAGATTGGTTATTAACTGTTTTATATTGGTGTATTAAATTTTGCTGTGTCTTGTGTCGGCTGTGAGTCCGCTGTGAGTCGCCTCCGGGCTGAGAACAGCGGTATAGAAGTAAAGTAAAGTAAATAAATAAATAAATTATATACACTTGCCTAATGCCCTCGATCACAACATTATTACAGTTCCTTTCTCTTTCTCTTTCCTCCTCAAACCCCTTTCCCCCTTTTTGCAGAACTCCAAGCGTTTCGGGAGGAACATCCACCGGGCCATGCTGGACATTGCAGCCTTGTTCGAGGTGTCTGCCAAGAAAATGGCAAATTGAGCTTGTGGGCAGTGGCTGGACTCATGGGCCGGAGACAAGCCGGAAGGGACTCTCCCCAGCAGCGCAATGGGCCGACTCCTCTGAGAGGGCTTTGGGGGTCCTGGATGAGCCCCCAGCAGCAATGGCGACACACTCGGGCCCTTCCTTCCTTCTTAGAGGAGCCCCATTGAGGACCCAAGGGACGGACTGTGGGGCAGGAAAGAGGGCGGGCTACAGAATGGGGCAACGGTATGCCTCACCCATAAAGAAGCATCACTTTTGGAAGGGACTGGTGTGCATTCTTGTTTGGGATCTGCTTTTTGGTGGCAGGAAGAAAGGAAAAGAAAGAAAGAAAGAAAGAAAGAAAGAAAGAAAGAAAGAAAGAAAGAAAGAAAGAAAGAAAGAAAGAAAGAAAGGAAGGAAGGAGCTCTTGGGGGAAAATAGACCTTGACATATGCGAGTTGTAGTTACTGGGATGTATAGTTCACCTACAATCAGAGCATTCTGAACTCCACCAATGATGGAATTGAACCAAATATGGCACACAGAACTCCCACGACGAACAGAAAATATATGTCTCAGTGATTGGTTGGGGGGAATACTGTTTGCTTACTATTGAAAATTACCTAGGGCCACCTCTGCCCATGAGGTCTCTTCCAACTCAAGGATTTTATGAATGAATGAATGAATGAATGAATGAATGAATGAATGAATGAACGAATGAATGAATGAATGAATGAATGAGGTGGTGTTTGTTCTGGCTCCTACTTGCAGCTTTGGCCCCGCCCACCACTGGCAATGTTTGCCCCAAAGGAATGCAAAGTGATATGAAGCAAGATGATGGATGTACAACACACACACACACGTTTGCACTTAAGTGCCGCCACATTGCAATAGCTAACTATGGACTGAAACCTCATTAATGAAGTTTCCTGCAGACTTCCTCCAGTGGAGGCTTCATTTGGAAAGGATGGGAAATGATCCATTTTTGGGGGGGATTTTGCCCAAGAAGACCCCCAAATCCCCAAGTGCAATGCCCTCTCCTCCCCCCCCCCCAAGATGAAATGGATCACATGTGCTATGTGCTCAGAAGCCACTTTATTTTGGATCCCACAAGACTGGGACACGATGTGGAAAGGGAGGGTAACGTGTTGGATGGGAGACGGAGAAGGAAGTGGGGAAGGCAGACATGCAAGAGGGCAAGGGTCATGCCAGGTCGCCAGGGCACGGCCTTTGTGGGAACAGCTCTAGACTTTGCAGAGGAAGGGGTTGCGGTCAAAGCAGGACTCGTTGTCCCACTGCAGGAACCCTGCGGAAAGAAAAGAAAGACGGGAAGATGAGTCACTTTTGGGAGTCCCTTGTTCAGCAGAGGCTGGGTGGCAAATGGCCATCTGTTGGGGGTGCTTTGATTGAGTGGACCGAGTTGTGGTGCAGCTGGTTGGGAAGCACAACAAATGTCCCACTTTTACAGAAAACAGACAATAATAGAATTCAGCATACACTTGTTATACTATTCAATTTCACTGTAATCACAAACAATATTGTGTGCGTGCTTGGGAGTCATCTGCATTAAAATCACGACTGACTGAAAGGTCATGAGTTCAAAGCCAGCCCAGGTCGGCGTAAGTGGTACCTGGAAATTTAGGTACCACTTTTTGCCCAAGAAGACCCCCAAATCCCCAAGTGCAATGCCCTTTCCTCCCTCCAAAAAAAAAAAAAAGATGAGTCATGAGTTCAAAGCCAGGCCGGGTCGGAGTAAGCTCCTGACCATTTGTCTAGTTTGCTGTCGACCTCTGCAGCTTGAAAGACAGTTGCATCTATCAAGTAGGAAATTTGGGTACTGCTTATGCGAGGAAGCTAATTTACCTAATTTACGACACCATATAACTCATCTGTGTCACAAGTGGATGGTGAAGTAACTGCTCCCCCGGTGGCCTGAATTCAAAAAGCATACTCTCGTGAAGCTGGAAAGTTATATAGCCTCTGTGTTTGTCCACATATGTTGTGTGTCTACGGCATTGAATGTTTGCCATATATAGGTGCATTGTGATCCCCCCAAGTCCCCTGTGGGGTGAGAAGGGTGGAATAGAAATAGTCAATAAATAAATTAATAAATCTTCCTGCCAAAATAGAAGGAGGTTGGACTGGATGGCCTTTGGGGTTCCCTTTTGGAAGACCTCAAAGGACCAAAGCTGGCATCCCTCTCTATCCAGAGGAATGTTTTTGTGTCATTATGTGTACATGGGATTTTAGAGGGGCCGCATGCAATGCCCCGCAAAGCCTCATGCTTCTCTACCAAACCCCGCCCTTCACTTCCCTCTCTGAACCATTTCTCTTCCTGCCATCAAGGATATTTCACTTAGCAGCACTCTTGATGTAAACATATCCCAAGGAGTGCTCAGCTCCACTCAAATCCAGCCATTAATTCTTCTTACAGAAAGTTGGGAAACTTACTCTGGCATATATTGCATACAATAGCACAATGCCATATCTATATGGAAGGGTAATATGTGGTAGCTTACTTGATGGTGCATTACTTTGGGTAGAAAAAGAGCCCATCTTTAAAAATTGCCTAATTTTGGTGGAGTTGGACAGAGAGGAATTCTTCCAAAAGGTAGGGAGGGAATCTCTCGTATGTCTCAATTTCTGACGGCATGAAGACATCACAAATTCCCTCCGTGATATCCTGACTGAATCACCCTGGCTGACTCAATTCTCTCTCTGTGACATTTTGAAGCCAGCAGAGCGCACTGCAGACCTTGTATTGGAACTTTGCTGCAGAGATGCAAGCAATATATCAATTTCAAAGCAAGAACTACTTGTGAGTGGTTATTTAATATTGCTACATAGATCCTATGTTCTTACACTCTTGCAATGAAAAGGTAGTGGCTTTAGATCATTTTATTGTGTGAAAGGAACAATGCTTGGCCTTCTGGATCTGGAGAAGCCCTATGAGGAGCGGCTTAAGGAGCTGGGCATGTTTAGCCTGAAGAAGAGAAGGCTGAGAGGAGATATGATGATAGCCATGTATAAATATGTGAGAGGAAGCCACAGGGAGGAGGAGGAGGGAGCAAGCTTGTTTTCTGCTTCCTTGGAGACTAGGACGCAATGGAGCCATGGCTTCAAACTACAAGAAAGGAGATTCCATCTGAACATGAGGAAGAACTTCCTGACTGTGAGAGCCGTTCAGCAGTGGAACTCTCTGCCCCGGAGGGAGTGTGGTGGAGGCTCCTTCTTTGGAAGCTTTTAAGCAGAGGCTGGATGGCCATCTGTCGGGGGTGATTTGAATGCAATATTCCTGCTTCTTGGTAGAATGGGGCTGGACTGGATAATGGCCCAGGAGGTCTCTTCCAACTCTAGGATTCTAGGATTCTATGATTCTAAACACATTAGTCTCCAAAGCTGTGTTCCAGCACAATTAACTTGCGGAACTCTCTGCCACAAGATATGACAGCTGCCAACTTAGAGATATTCAAAGGGAACTGTAATACTATTAGCAGTTTCCATATAATACATCTTCCAAATCATTAGCTGCCGGCTAAAGACTTGGGAAAACTACAGCTTCCAGGATCCCATAGCATTGAGTCAGGGCAGTTAAAGTGGTATCAAAGCCTCCAGCCGAGAGCAAGCTTCCTTTCTGCTTCCCTGGAGACTAGGATGCAAAGGAGCCATTGCTTCAAAGTACAGGAAAGGAGATTCCACCTGAACCTGAGGAAGAACTTCCTGACTGTGAGAGCTGTTTAGCAGTGGAACTCTCTGCCCCAGAGTGTGGTGGAGGCTCCTTCTTTGGAGGCTTTTAAACAGAGGCTGGATGGCCATCTGTCAGGGGTGATTTGAATGCAATATTCCTGCTTCATGGCAGAATGGGATTAGACTGGATGGCCCACCAGGTCTCTTCCAACTCTATGATTCTATGAAAGTGCATTAATTCTATAGTGTAGATGCACCTTCTCTGTTACTACATAACACAATTTTTGTTCCTGGTTTATAAATGTCATATCCTAATTTGCACTGCCATAAAAACATGAGAAAAGTATATTAAGCTGCCAAAACGTTTTCCTTGCGGGAGGGACATCATCCTGCTATAGCACATTTTGCAATAGTGTTCCAATAAATATCTCATCATTGAGTCTCAACCAATTTAACACAGTTTGTGCCACAAAAATGAAGTTCCTGGAGGATAACAACTACTTTCAAAGTAAGACTGCACAATTAATAATACTTTGGAATCAGGAACAGAAAATATTTCAAATTTTGTTGCATAATGTTGTGGTTGTTGTTGTTGTTGTTATGCCCTGCATTTGTCTCTTGACTGAGATGCAAGGCCACTCACAACATTGAGAAATGGTGCAAGCCAACATCTTCAAGGCAGAAATATTAAAACAGAGTTAAACATACAAATGACTTCCAAAAATGAAAGGCACTATTAATGTGATTTCCCCCGGAACTCACCGGAGGACTCCTCCAGGAGTGCGCAGTGCTCCCCTTTCAGGGCGAAGTAGTTCTTGTTCTTCTCCCAAGCAGTGTAGTCCAACTGGCTCCCATCAGCCCAGGTCCAGACCCGGCTCTGAGGGAAGCAAAGGGGACCCTTTTAGCAGGACTACCACCATCATCCTCACCCTGAATGCTAATGATCTCAGTTGCTAAGCAGGGCTTGCCCTAGTTTGTCTTTGAATGGGAGGTCACCAGGGTATATGTGGATCCTGGGCATCTCCAGGGAGGGAAACAAAGAAACCCAGGTGAGCCGCATCTGCCAGTCAAAGCTGGCTATCGTGGCTCTGAGTTCGAATCCACCTTCTGCTTAATCTGCAGAAGTCCCATTTCACAGTCTATTAAGGCTAGCACTATTTCTCCATGAGCCAGCACATGTAACTGAGGCCGGATGGCCCTCTGTCAGGAGGGATTGGATTGCATCTCCTTGCCTGGAATGAATAAGGTTGGGGGTCCCTTCCAACTCGAAGAGGCTTTGATTCTATAGCCCTATTTCTCCATGAACTACAACGCTTAAAGCCCGTAGTGTGAGACATTATTCAAGCCGGGAAACTCACAATTAGGCTCTATTAAATAGATCGTTGAATGATATTAAAAGTAAACGAGTCTCAATGTCCAGCTGCCTGATCTTTGCGGCGGTTTTAAAGAACTGACCGTTAGCTCTGGTGGGGGCTATTTATGTGGTCGGAGGGGGGCGTGGCTTAGCTAACGGTTCTTTAGGGTCTCAAGAATGTCCGATGCTGCCTGCGCGCGCGCGCAGAATTACCATAGGTGCAAATCCACAGGTGGTCACTCGGGAAACCATGTTTACAGGTAAGCAACCTACACTTCTCCATGAACTAGTGAATGCCTATTAAGCTGAATGGCCCTCTGTTGGGAAGGATCAGATTGTGCTTTTCCTTCATGTCAGAAGGGGGTTGGGTTGGATGATCCTTGGGAGTCCCTTCCAACTCTAGCTCCAGTTTTCCATGAACCAGTAAATGTCTATGATGCTGGATAGCCTTCTGTCGGGAGGGATCAGATTTTATATTCCTGCCTGGCATGAGTTGGGTTGGACTGGATGGCCCTTGAGGGTCCCTTCCAACTTAAGGAGTCTGATTCTATAGCCCTGTTTCTCCATGAACGTGCAAATGCTGATGTGATTAAATGGCCACATGCAGGGAAGGCTTAGATTGTGTCTTCCTGCATGGAGGAATGGGATTGGACTGGATCGCCTTTACTACACAGTGACATTTGTGGACCTATCAAAGTGAGTTTATTTGGTGCAAACATTCTTACATGGAGTGATAACGGAAGAGATATACATAAAACAACCACCAGGTTTTATAGACAAGAAGCGATCTCATCTTGTTTGTAAACTTTAAAAAGGACTGTATGGGCCTAAACAAGCTGCCAAAGCTTGGAATGACAAACTTGATGCAATGAGGGATCAGATTGTGCCTTTCCTTTATGTCAGAAGGAGGTTAGTCTGGATGGCTCTTGGGGATCCCTTCCAACTCTAGCCCTATTTCTCCATGAACCAGTGAATGTCTATGAGGCTGGATGGTCCTCTGTCAGGAGGGATCAAATGGTGCTTTTCCTTCATGGCAGAAGGGCATTGGACTGGATGGCCCTTGGGGGCCCCTTCCCACTCCACAATTCCCCCCTCACTCCTCACAGCCTCACCCTGCTGGGGATGGAGAGTCCGATCCAAACATCCTCATCATCCCACCGCTGGGCCTGCCTCAGATACGTGGCCACAGCCTCATGCTCGTTCTCGTCCAGGATGGAGGCCAGGTGCCCCCCATTACGCTTGCACTGTGCCTGCATCAGGGAAAGAGAGTGAGATATAGAGAGAGATGGGTCAGGGGTGTGGTGTATTTTCTGGGCTGTGCAGCCAATGTGTTCTAACGAAGAAAAGCCCAACTCAAGGAAAATAGCAGAGGTCTCTGGTCGGGCACGACACCACCATTAGATCTGGGCAATTACAACTGTTCTTTGTGTTGGAGTTTTAAAATATACTAACCTGTCTTGAAGATAAAATCCTGGGTTACTTTAAGTGTTGTAAGTGCCAAGCCACAGTTAAAGTGATTAAGCAGGAGGAGGATGAAACCCTGAAGTTAGGTTTGCACAAGGTGTATAAGATAATGGAAGCTTGACTGGGACATTGCATCATGCAAGTGTATCTAAGAACAGCAACACATCGTGTGATGTGATGATGTATGGAGACTTGGAGGATTCTGGAGAGAGCTGAGAGTACTGTAAATAGCTGCAAGAAAAGGTAAAGCCTTCCTGTGGAAAGAAGCTCCTGCAATTGCTGTTTATTGCAAGTATTGCACACATACTATAGAGAGTACTTTAATATTGCTTGGAACTTTGAGCTGACAAACTCTGCTTCAGGCTGAAGAAATATCTGATACTTGGCCGCTAAGAAAGCTGGGGAGGAGCTGATGGGGGAAAAGGTGCAGCTCCCCCTGCTTGCCGAAGGCACCCCAGAGCCCATCCATTCCACCCCTCTGCTGCCCCTCACCTGGGCCCTCTGCCAGTTCAGCTCCTGGGGGAAGTAGCCATAGCAGTGGCTGCCGTAGGAGAGCCAGTTCTTGGGGCAGTCGGCCGCTTGGACGCCTGGAAGGACAGGGAAAGTGTCATGGAGGAAGAGGAGGTTTGCTTTGAATGGAATTGTATGAAAGATTGGGACCTATAGAGGCTAGAGATGTCATCCTAAGATTGAAAGCTGGAAAACTACAAAAGGAAAATCCGTGAACTGTAATTATTATTTATTTATTTACTTATTTATTTATATACCGCTTTTCGCAGCCCTCAGGCAGCTCAAAGCCAAGAACAACATCAATACAAAACATCACGAGACAAGTATAGGGCAATTAAAAACAATTGTAACATAAATAATTAAACATCCGTATAACAATCATTAGCGCCTCAACAGTAAAATCAGAATCCAGTCTCATCATCCATTATTCCGTATTCCAAAACTCCTGTCTTCCCTTTTTTTTCTTACCCAACTTTTACACCTTTCCCCCATGTATGTCTGTGATTTTTTTTAAAATGCCATATATGTGTGTTGATATACAGAGACACTCGCTGGAACACCTCAGCAAGCGAGAGTCCAAAAGTGGCAGGCTCAAACCCAGAACCTCAATCCATGGCTGATACCCAATGAGAGACTCCCCCCTGGGCACAGAGAAGACGGGGCGACTTGGAAGGCGCTGAACAGACTGCGCTCTGGCATCACGAGATGCAGAGCCAACCTCCAGAAATGGGGCCACAAAGTGGAATCCACAACATGCGAGTGCGGAGAGGAGCAAACCACTGAGCACCTGCTGCAATGCAACCTGAGCCCTGCCACATGATGCACAAGGAAGGACCTTCTTATAGTAACACCAGAGGCACTCCAAGGGGCCAGAGACTGGCCAAAGGACATTTAATCCACTACCAAGCCTGCAAACTTTGTGTTTTCTTTGTTTGTTTGCTCCAATGTGCCTTCCCAGAATAAGGAAATTCCCAGCAATATGTCCCTAAACACACTTTAGTAGTGATCTAGGATTGTCTGCACACTCCATCCCTCTCCAAAATTTCTGTCCTGTTTATATGTCACCTAGTCACGCCCAGCATTATTTTTTTTAAAATTTTAATTAATACATTTGGCCCAGCCATAGGTTTTTAAACGCGTCGTGCTATTGTTAATGTTTATTGCTTATTTTCTGCTTATGAGTTTATTTATTGCTTTGAATTACTGTTGCTATTGTTTATTGTTGTTTTGTGGGCTCGGCCTCATGTAAGCCGCACCGAGTCCCTTGGGGAGAAGGTAGCGGGGTACAAATAAAGTTTTATTATTATTATTATATTTATATATATCATAGAATCATAGAATCAAAGAGTTGGAAGAGACCTCATGGGCCCTCCAGTCCAACCCCTGCCAAGAAGCAGGAATATTGCATTCAAAGCACCCCTGACAGATGGCCATCCAGCCTATGTTTAAAAGCTTCCAAAGAAGGAGCCTCCACCACACTCCGGGGCAGAGAGTTCCACTGCTGAACGGCTCTCACAGTCAGGAAGTTCTTCCTCATGTTCAGATGGAATCTCCTCTCTTGTAGTTTGAAGCCATTGTTCCGCGTCCTAGTCTCCAGGGCAGCAGAAAACAAGCCTGCTCCCTCCTCCCTATGACTTTCCCTCACATCTTTATACATGGACCTCATCATGTCCGCTCTCAGCCTTCTCTCTTCTGCAGGCTGAACATGCCCAGTTCTTTAAGCCGCTCCACATAGGGCTTGTTCTCCAGACCTTTTATCATTTTAGTTCCCCTCCTCTGGACACATTCCAGCTTGTCAATATCTCTCTTGAATTGTGGTGCCCAGAATTGGACACAATATTCCAGATGTGGTCTAACCAAAGCAGAATAGAGGGGTAGCATTACTTCCCTAGATCTAGACACTATGCTCCTATTGATGCAGGCCAAAATCCCATTGGCTTTTTTTGCCGCCACATCACATTCCTGGCTCATGTTTAACTTTCTGTCCACGAGGACTCCAAGATCTTTTTCACACGTACTGCTCTCGAGCCGGGCATCCCCCATTCTGTGTCTTTGCATTTTGTTTTTCCTGCCAAAGTGGAGTATCTTGCATTTGTCACTGTTGAACTTCATTTTGTTAGTTTTGGCCCATCTCTCTAATCTGTCAAGATCGCCCTGAATCCTGCTCCTTTCCTCTGGAGTATTGGCTATCCCTCCCAATTTGGTGTCTGCAAACTTGATGCAATACAACTGTTTGGCTTGCTCCTGACATGATAAATAAATAAATCTCAGCCTAATATTGAACCTTGATGATGAGCTATTTCAGCTCCACTAAACCCAAGCATGACATGTCTCGCTTCCTAATAGGCCAACTCAGATACAGACGGGTAGAAGGCAAAAGCAGAGGTTCATTCTCAATGGCCAGAGAGGATGTCAGCAGGGAGAAAGCACTCCAAAGTATTGACATACCACAATTACAGAGTATTTTTATTTCATTTGACCTGCTGACCTGCTCCGGAGTGGCTAAAAACGACCCAGCTAGGATCCTTGTCCTGATTGGATCCGGACTCGGTTGGGCATCTTTGCTGCTTTGCTCATTGTATGGAGAGAAATTCAACAAACTGTCATTGGAGCATTTGAAGTCTCAGTATGTTAAATGGCCCGCCTCCGAGAGAGGCATGATCCCCCTACCGCCTGTTAGGAATTGTGGGAGCTGAAGTCCAAAACACCTGGAGGGCCCAAGTTGGCTTGGGCCTGTCCTAGAGTCTCAACTTAGGACTGCACAATTAAACAGGAAATAACCCTTTCTAACCAAGAACAGAAATTCCATCAAAGTCATTCCATAGTGTGCTGGTACGGCTGTACCAGGAGCTCCAACTTCATTTTCTTTCTATTGAGTGTTTGCATGTATTCCAGGGTCCACACATTTTGCAATAAGGTGGTTTCCCTTGCTCTGCAATTATAGGGCCAATGACCCTTCCATCATCATTATATTCTTTAGTTCCGCCCTTTTCCCCAGGGCTCTGGGAGGGAAAAGAAAGACTACAGGCAGTCTTTCAGTTTTGGAAGCCCAGTTACAGGACGTGAACTTTTCCCACCTGTAGAAAAGCTTCATTTCTCACAACATCAGGGGGAAACGGCCCTAAAGCTTCTAAGAAAAACAGTTTTACAGCACAACCCTTGTTGGGGTTAAAGATATAGATCCAAATCATTCGTGGAGAAAATCTAAAAGGACTCCAGCTGGAAAATCTACAAAGCTTTGGCTGGTAGGTCTACTTGGGAACCAAGAAGCAGTTTGGATCCAGGAGCAGGGCCCACACCAGCCAAGTTTAGAAAACAGATTGCCTGGGAGGAGTCAAAAAGGGTTTTCCTTGTTAAAGAAAGAAAGAGTTCTCCAAGCAAGGTGCCTGTCCTTTGTAGACAAGTTAATCATAGAATCCTAGAATCAAAGAGTTGGAAGAGACCTCCTGGGCCATCATCCAGTCCAACCCCATTCTGCCAAGAAGCAGGAATATTGCATTCAAATCACCCCTGACAGATGGCCATCCAGCCTCTGCTTAAAAGCTTCCAAAGAAGGAGCCTCCACCACACTCCGGGGCAGAGAGTTCCACTGCTGAACGGCTCTCACAGTCAGGAAGTTCTTCCTCATGTTCAGATGGAATCTCCTCTCTTGTAGTTTGAAGCCATTGTTCCATTGCGTCCTAGTCTCCAGGGAAGCAGAAAACAAGCTTGCTCCCTCCTCCTCCCTGTGGCTTCCTCTCACGTATTTATACATGGCTATCATATCTCCTCTCAGCCTTCTCTTCTTCAGGCTAAACATGCCCAGCTTCCTTAAGCCGCTCCTCATAGGGCTTGTTCTCCAGACCCTTGATCATTTTAGTCGCCCTCCTCTGGACACATTCCAGCTTGTCAATATCTCTCTTGAATTGTGCTGCCCAGAATTGGACACAATATTCCAGGTGTGGTCTAACCAAAGCAGAATAGAGGGTAGCATGACTTCCCTAGATCTAGACACTATGCTCCTCTTGATGCAGGCCAAAATCCCATTGGCTTTTTTTGCCGCCACATCACATTCCTGGCTCATGTTTAACTTCCTCCCCACGAGGACTCCAAGATCTTTTTCACACGTACTGCTCTCGAGCCAGGCATTGTCCCCCATTCTGTATCTTTGCATTTCATTTTTTCTGCCAAAGTGGAGTATCTTGCATTTGTCACTGTTGAACTTCATTTTGTTAGTTTTGGCCCATCTCTCTAATCTGTCGAAGATCGTTTTGAATTCTGCTCCTGTCCTCTGGACTATTGGCCATCCCTCCCAATTTGGTGTCGTCTGCAAACTTGATGATCATGCCTTCTAGCCCTTCATCTAAGTCATTAATAAAGATGTTGAACAGGACCGGGCCCAGGACGGAACCCTGAGGCACTCCACTTGTCACTTCTTTCCAAGATGAAGAGGAAGCATTAGTGAGCACTCTCTGTGTTCGTCCACTTAACCAATTACAGATCCACCTCACCGTAGTTTTGCCTAGCCCACATTGGACTAGTTTCCTTGCCAGAAGGTCAAATGTTAAGAAGCATTTGTTTAATTTGTTGAAGATCTAAGAAGTATTTGATTGTTTGTTGAAGACTTAAGCAATTATAAAGGACTTTGTTGAACCTTTCAAGCTTCTAAAGACTCTGCATAGAAAAATCCTTAGGGCCTCTCAGCCGAGCACCCCGGCTACCCGCTGGGCACAAGGCAAATGCTATAGGCCCAGCGCATGACAGCACACATAGTGTTCTATATCTGACACAGGGGAGTGTTTTCCAAGGCAGCGCTCTCACCCTGAGCCTCCTTCCTCCCTTCTTGAAAGGGCTTAAAGAAAGAAAGAGAGGCTTGGGAGACAGAAAGCAAAGCGACAGAGTTCCTGTTCTTGGCGGGGGGGGGGGGGGGTGAAGGGAAAAGGGGGACTCACCTCCGCTGACCAGGCAGCCCAAGAGGCCGAGGCTGAAGAAGGAGAAGGCCATGGTCGAAGGCATCCTCAGGTTCTGCAGATCTGGAGAAAGAGACACAGACTTGGTTTTGGAGGCATTTGCATCTGCATCAGAATGCAAATGCAAACAGAAACAGATTTTAATTAATTAAATGTAATTTAATATTTTAAATGCATGTAATTATTGGATTTCATTATGTATTTTATTATGTGTACATTGGAGGCATCAAATTGTTGAGTCCCACCCTCCCATGACCAACAGAAAACACTAGAAGGGTTTGGTGGGCATTGACGTTGAGTTTGGGAGTTGTAGTTCACCTACATCCAGAGAGAACTGTGGACTCAAACAATGATGGGTCTGGACCAAACTTGGCACAAATATTCCATATGCCCAAATATGTACACAGGGGAAATAGACTTTGACATTTGGGAGTTGTAGTTACTGGGATTTATAGTTCACCTACAATCAAAAAGCAATCTGAACCCCATCAACGACAGAATTGGGCCAAACTTCCCACACGGAACCTGTTGAGACTCAGCGTCTGTCTCATGCACCTACTACTAGTAGTAGAAGGAAACGTAGGTTAGAGAATGATGAAGCTCAGCAGCAGCTGAAAAGGATAAGAGACTTGTTTCTAGAGACGACAGATGAGGAGGATTTTGTGGGTTTTACTCGCGAGGAAATGGAGCTGGAAGATTACAGAGGTGTAAAAAGAGTAGCCAGCAGCTCAAACAGTGATGTGGGATCTGTTGCTAAACGCTTGAGAGATGTTGCAGACTGTGGGGAGTTTGACAGCGAAGAGGAAGAGCTGGACTGGACTAAAGTCCAGGAAGTAATGGATGTAATTAACGCTCCCACGTCTAGTGATGAATTCCAGGGTTTTGATAATAACTGGGTTGGAGATAACTCTTTGCAGGATGGAACTCGAAGTGCTGACTGGCAGCAATGGCGTGGTGTGGATTCACCTGAGGAATTGGACCCAGCTGATGGCAGTTCCAGCGACTCGGATGAGATTTAAGCAGCAGCTTGGGGACAGTCTAATCGCAGAGTTCAAGGTGTCGCTTGCCGTGTGCCTTGTGTGTAACTCCTGCCCTGAGTTCTTGTTACAGCTTCGTGTCTCCTGATCGTGTGAACAACCCTGCTGGTTCCAGACTCGTGAGTCTTCCCTGTTTTGACCTTCGGATTGCCTGACTACGCCTCTGCTTTATCCTGGAATATTCGTTGGACCGCTCTTCATGCAAACTGTTGTTTGCTGTTCTGTTTGTCTTCAATTCGGACTAAAGTTTCCCTGCTGAAGTTAAGCTGCCTGATTCTGTTTTGAACTGACTTTCCTTTTGTCAGCCGTGGCTGACTGAGACCAGTTTGTTTACATTTCTGCTGACTGCAAGCCTCCTTTGTTTATCTCTGAACTGAAGAGTCTCCTTTTGTTTTGTTAATGGACATTAAACACCTACTTTAACTCCATCGGTGCCGTGTGTGTTGCTGACTGCTCTGGGTCTTGACAGAACCTCGATGACCAACAGAAAATACTCAAGGCCATCCAGTCCAACTCCCTTCACCAGGACAAGAAAACATAAACAAAGCCCTCCTGACAAAGAGCCATCCAGCCATAGATAGAGATTGATATATATGATTAACACACACAGAGAGATATCGTATCCTAGATTTGCAAGGGACCCCTAAAGAAGGATGATTATATGTTGCATGTTCCAGGGTGGGCAAATCAGACACTCTCCACATCAACACTGACAAGGAGACAACAAGAAATACTGTTTACCCATAAGCAGAAAGACATGACATAGATTAGAAACCAACACTTTATTTTCCAGATCACGAGACTGGGCCACAGCAACGCCTGGCAGGGGACGGCTAGTAAATAAATAAATCCACAGCATCTCAGTCCTTCCTATTCTCAGGTAGCCTGAGGCCAGGTAGGCAACCCCACCATGGGCTGTCAGACTGTATTAGTATGACAGAATCCTAGAGATGGGTGAGACCCCCAAAGGTCATCCAATCCAGCCTCCTCCCTCCAGGCAGGAAGGCACCATCCAATCCCTCCTGACAGTATTGGGTATCACAACTGGAGAAGTATAGCAGCAGGTTGGGAGGGTGAGCCAAATGGTCGAGCCATGAACTCCTCCGAGGAGTGGAAGTCTTTAAGCAGAATCATAGAATCCTAGAATCCTAGAGTGGGAAGAGACCTCCTGGGCCATCCAGTCCAACCCCGTTCTGCCAAGAAGCAGGAATATTGCACTCAAAGCACCCCTGACAGATGGCCATCCAGCCTCTGCTTAAAAGCTTCCAAAGAAGGAGCCTCCACCACACTCCCTCCGGGGCAGAGAGTTCCACTGCTGAACGGCTCTCACAGTCAGGAAGTTCTTCCTAATGTTCAGGTGGAATCTCCTCTCTTGTAGTTCGAAGCCATTCCTCCATTGCGTCCTAGTCTCCAGGGAAGCAGAAAGGAAGCTTGCTCCCTCCTCCTCCCTGTGGCTTCCTCTCACATATTTATACATGGCTATCATATCTCCTCTCAGCCTTCTCTTCTTCAGGCTAAACATGCCCAGTTCCCTAAGCTGCTCCTCATAGGGCTTGTTCTCCAGACCCTTGATCATTTTAGTCGCCCTCCTCTGGACACATTCCAGCTTGTCAATATGTCTCTTGAAGCTGGATGGCCATCTGTCGAGAGTGTTTTGATTGCACCCTCCTGCCCGGCAGAAAGGGGTTGGACTGGATGGCCTTTGGGGGTGAAATATATGCCTAGGAGTCCAACGCAATCTCCTTCTCTGAAGCTGGATGGACATCTGTCGAGAGTGTTTTGATTGCACCCTCCTGCACGGCAGAAAGGGGTTGGATTGGATATCTTTTGGGGGTCCCTTCCAACTTGAGTGAAATATATGCCTAGGAGTGCAACGCAATCTCCTTCTCTGAAGCTGGATGGCCATCTGTTGAGAGTGTTTTGATTGCACCCTCCTGTCTGGCGGAAAGGGGTTGGACTGGATGGCCTTTGGGGGCGAAATATACGCCTAGGAGTCCAACACTATATCCTTCTCTGAAGCTGAATGGCCATCTGTCGAGAGTGTTTTGATTGCACCTTCCTGCCCAGCAGAAAGGAGTTGGACTGGATGGCCTTTGGAGGTCCCTTCCAACTCGAGTGAAATATATGCCTAGGAGTCCAACGCAATCTCCTTCTTTGAAACTGATGGCCATCTGTCAAGAGTGTTTTGATTGCACCTTCCTGCCTGGCAGAAAGGGGTTGGACTGGATGGCCTTTGGGGGTCCCTTCCAACTTGAGTGAAATACATGCCTAGGAGTCCAATGCGATCTCTTTCTCTGAAGCTGGATGGCCATCTGTCGAGAGTGTTTTGATTGCACCCTCCTGCCTGGCAGAAGGGGGTTGGACTGCATGGCCTTTGGGGGTCCCTTCCAACTTGAGTGAAATATACGCCTAGGAGTCCAATGCAGTCTCCTTCTCTGGAGCTGGATAGATATCTGTCAGGTTGGTTTATCAAGTGCTCTGCTATGGCTGACTTCTCTAGTTGAATTAGTCTGCAGTGCCTTGATTGCATAGGGAAGCCGATGAAGAAGCACAACCTCCAAACCATCAACAGGCCCACCAAGGAAATCCAAGCAAAGGATAGCAGGGATCTTGGGAGCACTGCAAGAGTCTATTGCATAATGTGTAGATGTGGGCAAGAAGTCTCTATAGGGACCCCCAAACACAGCAGCATTGCCCAGGCACGAATCAAGGAATAATAATAATAATAATAATAATAATAATAATAATAATAATCAGCATTTTCTGATCTTCTTGCTTTATGGTGTCGTAAAACACCTCCCCCACTTTTAGCGGTATCTAATTTCTCTAATCACAACTAAAGCTGTTTTCGAATTGCTTAGGTAAACAATGAGGTAGGCTGACAGTTGGAAGCTCACACCAACCTGGGGTTTCGAACTTGCAACCTTTTTGATTGATAGATCTTATCATCATCATCATCATCTTTAATTACTTATTAATCACCCTCCATCTGAGAATGCTCCAGGCAATTTACAGCTAAATTACAAAAGATACAATACATACATACAAAAATTAAAAATCAACAGAGATCGAATGCTCTTATAATTGCTGATGATTTACCAGCTGTGCTATACCTCCAGCCTAACATGAAAGGCACTGCAGACTAATCCAACTAGAGAAGTCAGCCATAGGAACCAACCTGGACACAGATATTATTATTGGAGGACACAGAAATGCTGGACCACTCTCACAACCACCATGTCAGATGACACAGAGAAGTCATCGAAATCCACAAGAAGCAGGTGGACAATGTCAACAGAAAGGAGGAAACCATGAAAATGACCCAAATCTGGTGAAAAACACCCGAACCAAGACAGTAAATAAGGAAAAACACTCAGAAACATGGGAATTCCAGATAGCAAACCATCAAGTGCCAGTTATCACTGCCTAACAGAGGATACCTGCAGGCAGCAACAGCCAGGCTTTGAACCAACCTGGACACAGCATGTTGTTTGAGAAGACAGCAATGCTGGACCACTCTCACAACCACCATGTCAGGCTACACAGAGAAGCCATTCAGATCCACGTGAAGCACGTGGGGAATCTCAACAGAAAGGAGGAAACCATGAAAATGAACAAAATCTGGCTACCAGTATTAAAAAAGCTCTAAAATCACAACAGCACAACAACAGAGAGGAAACAAACAAGGACATCTAATCACCTCTCAACAAAAGTTTGCTCCAGGCACTGCCAGGCCATCAAATGCTAATCAAGGTGATCAGTGGGGGATTCTTTTAGGTCATGCCATTTTGCCAGGTTGTCCCTTTGATCTGCCCACTCCACTTCTGAGTCTGTTCAGGGACTTCCAAGTTGTCCATTCCTCAGGGACATCTAATCACCTCTCAACAAAAGATTGCTCCAGGTAATGCTAATCAAGGTGGTCAGTGGAAACATTCCCACCTAGCTCCAGCAGACAAGAGTCCTTTGCCCCACCCTGGTCACTCCACAGATATATAAACCCATTTTCCTAGTTCCAACAGGCCT